AAATTCTCCATGCTACAAGTTCAACCACAAGCAATATATTTATAATAATGATTAAGAGAATATAGAATTGAATATGAAAATTTTGGTTTTACGTGTAGAAGGTAACTTAATTGGGAAAATGCTGCCCCTAACTGCTCAGTTGGCTGGACACTCGTGCGATGCCGGTACAACTGGTACCGTCTGACCGTACCGGTTACCCATGCAATCACTCATGAAAGAATGGAGCATACGGATAGTCTCGTAGAATATAGACTACTGAAACACTCTCTGCGGCCTGCCCCATACCGTACAGCCGTAACGTACCGATCCAGACAAATGATGAATCGCCCGTGCTCAACCATTTATTTCAATCCATACCTCGACTCACTATATTCTACTAGGATCGAGGTATGAGCATCTCAAGGTATGAGTATCTCAAGCATTGAGAATTAATTTTCTCGCCCAAGCATGCTTTTCTGTAGATAACACCTTCAAAAAGACGTTGTTCAATGTTGCATTCGCGTCAACGTCCAAACAGGACCAATTAGAATTGATTTTACATGTGATACGTTCACTAACAATGTTAGCGGGAAACAAGGAAACAAACAAAATGACGCATTCACCTTCAGTAAGTAGGCCAGCGTTGCGCTACACAGCAATAACGGCAGTGATTTCCCTACACCCCCCCTAATTTTGAGGTGCGATTCCACACAGAGGGGTTCTAAACCGCAGTCTGCGGGCCAATTACGGCCCGCGTGACGATTTTAAATGGCCCGCCGAACTTGAGTGAAATAGTTTAACCCTTCGTGGGGTACCTTTTGAGTTTTAGATACCTTCTATTGTTACATCATTATCAGTTTAGGCACGTTTATTTCATAACAATTGAATTATTCCGGTATCTTATGTATAGGCATGTGTATTATGATTACACACTGCAGTATTTTAGATATCAGCCATATATTAAGAAAGCTTAAAGATGTCACAAAACGAAAACTAGGCACTGAAAACAGACGTTTTTTAGATGGATGACAGCGTTTTTATTTCTTTATTGAAAAGAATCAAACTTCAGCGATTTGTCTTCTTACAAAATATTTCAGTTCTGAAGGAATACAACATTTTGCGACATTATGATCAGTTGACGAGCGTATTTCAAAATTTAATTCATACAAAAGTCAAACAAACATGTTCAAAAAAATTAGAAATGTGTAACAAAACAAGCCATAAGTAGCCATTCATACAATGCCAGATGAGCAAGTAACTTCATTAGTCACTATCAGTTGCAAATTACTTGTTGAAACGTAGTAGTATATATTTACGGTTGAAAGCCGTGCTTGTTATCTATTCCCCGAGAATTCTATCAGCTAAATATTATAATTATTGATTTTATTACATAACAAACTGCGATGCTAGGTGTATCTAAAATCAAGCTTAGAGCCTATTTTGGTGCCTATTTCTCAACATTTTCTCAGGGCGCTTAAGCGCACCCTGAACCCCAGCCGTGTCGTCCCGCACTTTTCCTCGCTCCCCTTTTCTGGCCCTACAATTTCATTCTGCTGTGGATTTTGGCTCGCCGTCAATAAACTTGGCCCCCCCCCTATACATCGTTTCTTAAATACATACCATTTTTTAAGAATACAAATAGCCTAGTTTTATCTCTAATAGCAAATTATTTACCACCCCTTAAATTTTGAAACACCCCCCCTAAAGAGAAAAGCTGGGGAACATACTGAATAACGGTAACATGTTCGTGTATTATGCTGGATGACTGATTGCCGAAGCGGGACTTTTGACTGACTTGTCGGGACATAACGCTAAAAAGCGGGGCTTTTGGCTTACTTGTCGGGACGGCGGGACAAAACGCTAAATAGCGGGACTGTCCCGCCTAAAGCGGGACGTATGGTAAGCCTATATATATGTTATGCTGGCCCCGAGAAAAATACGCATCTAAATTTTGTCTTTCATTTTATTTTATTTTCAAACTGATCCAAACGATACATTTTATAAGCCTTTGGTACTATTTTGCGACATCTGTATATTATAATTGTGCATTTGTGCACAATACATTTTGCATTTATATTTTTCTTCAAGGCCCAAATCATTGCAACTATTTAATCGGAGTTTCACTGTCTCCCAGCCATCACCGATTTGGACAAGCATGTTATGTGCGTTCAAAATTATTTCGGCGGTAGGAACGGGGGTCGCAGACTCCAAAAATACCCTCTTCTCGCCGTTGATACCACACCTGAGAAGGATAAAATATGCCTGATCAGCGTCAGTTATTTACACGGTGGGCATGGTTTTATAAGTCTCTTCCTCGAGTGTAACACTTGCTTCTGCGCAACTATATCCAGTTCCTTTTCTATTTCCAGCTCCAATCCACTCGAAATTGTCAACTGGAATGTTGACGGGCAAAACCTATATAAAGGTTTATAACGAACGCTGTAACCAGCGATTGTGCCCATTCACCCACATTCACACACGTGAAACACACCAAGACAATCATACTAGAATAAATTAATGAACAGAGTACATGGTCACGAGAAAATAAATTTCACGGGCAAAGCTTACTTGTAATGTTGTAAATAATTTTGATGAGTGAAAGTCGTGAAGAATACAAAAACATTTAGAAGTTATGTGACGGTGCCTGTGCCGAAATGCGAATACCAATAATAACAATTAATTGATTAGCTGCTGTTTTTTTGTAAACAAACAAAACTAAAAAGTAAACAACAAACATAAAAACACGAAAACTAGTTTCGGGCGTTGCTTTGGTTCGAATTCGTAGAAATTGGAGTAAATGTTTTTATTCTTTGCAACGTCCAACATTCCGGAGCTTCCATCTTATTGTGTTGAACATCGATTGTTCCTATGAATTGTTTCTCTCGCATGAATTTACTGACCAATCCAGTGTCGGCAGCTAAGTCGATTATTTCTGTTTCCTCGAAGTCCCTTAGATTCAATCACTTGTTACAAGTGCTCAACGCAATTCTTATCAAAGCAGCTCCAATGTATAAAAGCTAGTCTGTATTCAATCCTGTTTGTCCGGTTTTCCAAGTTTTAGTCCAAATATTTTTTACTCCAGTACTCCACCGTGTAATACCATGTCCGCACCCGACGGCGGTCTCCGTCAAAGTCCTGGGAACTATGAACTATAACTGGGAACTATGAATGCGATTGAACAATGTTTGAGCACAAGGCATAACATAACGTGTGGACCATTCATTATATTAGCAGGCACGATCATTAGTTCAATATAAGCATAAGCAATAAATAAAACACATATATACAATGCATTATTTGCTTGATATTGCACAATAGGAACTTCACATCTTCTCGACATCAGCAAGTGCCATCACAATGAAACGAACGAGTCTCTTCACGCTAGTATTTGCTTAGACTGCAGGGGTTCTCAAACGCTTGGTGTTGTGGATCCCGTGAAGAATTCAATTTTTTTTACGGAGCCCCACAGGACATTTATAAAATAATACATTGTTACTTAGCGACTACTGTTCCTGAGTAAATTAACATACGAAATTATCTACGGGAACTTATGGCTAATGTCGTAGGCTATTTAAATTACTGTCACTTTGTCACATTTCGACATTACCGTCGTCCAATTTTATTAATGCCATTATTGCTTCCTTGAGTAAGTAAACTTTCTCTCACGGAGCCCTGGTGTTCTTCTGTTCTCAAAACTCGTATACCTGCTTCGTATACTTCAACCGAAATGGAGTACTGTGGTGATTTTACCCACCTAGACGACATCTTGAAATACGCATATTGTTCAACGACGCCAACCATAGGCATCACAAGAGAATAGACGAGCGAGCCCACCAAAGAAATTCACGCTGGTGTTGCTCACTTCAGTTTATGTGATACGAGTATTAGCGTGACGAATTCCATGGCAAATGAATTTTCATTGTTTCTTCGAATGAAGGAGAAATGAAAATTTGTGATGATTTCCAATTCGTCTGATCAGTGATCACAAACTATTTGTTTAGCTAGAGATCGAACCTATCAAAGTTTCCAACTTACATTAATTTAGATCCAAATTGAACTTAAGGGGTACATGTCGCACATCTGTGTCTTAGGCCAGTAAGGTCTTGAACATGTATCCCGTCTCTATTTTACTGTTTAAATATTATGCAAATACTGTTACATTTTTGAGGCAAATAAACATACATACATACTTTAAGAGTCCAAATTTAAGTTCCACGTTCGTCAGTCAAAGCCCTCCATAATAGAATTAGCTTAAACCGATCCACGAGAAGGGTGGGGATTTAGGAGAGAAAGGAGATTTAGAGCATTTGTACTTTCGTGAATGGTAGTTGTCGAAGATAATGAGTGCAAGATTGGACTCGATGGTGGAGGAAGCCGACCAGCGGTTACGTGAACCACCCGGAGGCGACGAGGTATCTAGCAATCCTCTCGCACGGATTTTATCCCCCACGGAATGCAAGCCCACGCAGGTAATCAGAGATGGGGCGGTGAGTGTATTCCTAACGCTATATATATATATGCTTTTTTCTTCGAAATACGTATTTATTACCTAGCGAGAGGGAAAATACAGCTTTTTGAACGATCACGCCGTCTTTCGACATTGAAAGACATGTTTATTCTTGAGTGATATCCAAAGATTGCGTTTATTATGAAATCTTTGTCGATTATGTTACGTGATTTCAATATTGTTTTGAATTTGCGCTGAAATTTATGTCGAAATAGTATTTTCTACTAATTTCCATAGTCATGTCGGTATCCGAAACAAGGTACCTTGGCATGATATTTTTTGGGGGTAGCGCAGAATCAGATATCAGAAGACCGCACAGAACATAAATATTTTCCATTCAAGATTCAATTTGCACAAAGCAACAGCCGGATTAAACTCGCGAAGCCAAGTCCCAAACCTTAATTCAGAGGGTTACTATAAATTTTTCCTTATGCAACAATATGGTAAATTATTACAAATTAGGAAATTCCTACATTAACACTTTTTCCTTTGTGTACGTCAACAATACACGTTATCGCACTAACACAACCGGTTTTATTAAAACATAAAATCGAACAAAATAAATTAAATTACCGCTTATTGTAACAGTGTTCTTACAAAAATTGTGTCCATAGTGCCAATAAAACAACATAAAGCTGCGCGAAACGAGTTTTGTCAGAATTGTAAATGATGTCCCATATAATCCCTAACATATTTATCAGGTTCGGTGCTGTAATGTCATAAAAACTAAAATAAATATAAAAACTTCGCCAATTACGCAAAATAGTAAGGCATGAACACTGATGATATATTTGATAGAGAAACAAGTATGACTATTTGACACGACAAATTAAAGGTAGGAATCCGCTGAAGGTTTTCTCAAGAAATTCAATCTAAAAGGTCCAACAACCATTATGAAAGATTCTGATAGCATAATGTCTTCCAGTATGTCTTACTATTGAAAGAAAGATGAATGAGTTTTGAAGAGGTTTGTTTCACCAAAAAAAGCAAGCAGTGGGAAAAATCACTATCTCCATCTCAAGCCTCTTATTTTCAAGGGAGGAGGATGTTTACCACCTTCAGAAAACTTAGGAAGCTCACTAATTTGTAAATATTCCATAATCATTTTAACAAGAAAATTCAACTGTTCTTCAGTTGCAACTTCATGGAACTGTTTTAGTAATAGGTTCTCTACGCATGCTGTGAGACGCTCCAATGTCCTTTGAAAAGATTTATGTTGTCTGTTTTGTTCAACAATATTTAATATCCAGTACCTAAAGCCGGCCATGATTGTCCAACAAGGTGTCTCGAAATGTATCTGTTTGTACCAAAATCACCAAAGAATACATTTATAGAAACAGAAATCGTTTCTGAAGTAACTTGATGCCACCAGAATGCTGGAATATATAATGCATCTCCTGAGTTAAGCACACATTCAAAACAAGTTGCATTGCGAAAACGGAATACTTTTCTAAATCGGTTTTTCACAGTCAACCTGAGACTGTATAGTTTTTCCCTTTGAACCCAAGGGATTTGGATAAAGTTCATCTAAGTCAGAACTTTTGTAAAGTTTTACTCGTTTTCTTCCTTCAATTATCATGAGCATTCCTTCATCTGGGTCAAAATGACAAAATTCATAATGCCCCTTCTGAGCTATCCACATGAAAGGCCATTATGAACCTTCCGAATATATCCAGGAAGTACACATTCGTTTGAAAGCTGTGGAAACACTTTTGCAATGTTTTGTACAGCCATGTAAGAACTTGATCCCCTTGCACTACACTTTTGTAAATCTTGAATATATTCCCTGAATGTAGTTTTTCTTAAAGTATAATTTTTCCCAACTTTGTATTCCTGGCAGTTTGTTCGGCCTCGTACATTAACTTCATTGTCGGCAACTCTTGATAAAAGGTATTCAATATCCAATTTGCAATGGAGAGATCTTTTAAGCAACCATTTATTACGGGACATTCCTTGGTGAGAAATTGACGTTCAAAGTCATCTACGGATAAATCAGACACCCGAACAACCTCCTGTTTGGTTTCCATTGATCCTAATTAACTAAATTATCAATTAGCACTTCAAAATATTAAAAAGGATATGAAAAGTTTAAAACAAATGAAAGTTCACACAAAATCTATAAAATTGTCCATTAATACAGGCAATATTGAAAAGTGATCGTGCTAAAATGTTTAATACCATTAATAAAAATCACCAACAAATGAATTTGACAATTAACACATTTGTAAATGAACATGAAAGTAAGTAAAAAATACCTAGTCAGAAAAATCCCTTTGTGCTTTCATATATATATATGCAGTCAGATGGCAATGGACAAGACACAGCAAGATAAATTCAAAACAAAACAACTCATTTCTAGGTTAGAGTATATCACAGTGACTTTTTAAATATTAAAATATTTACTGTGGAAATAGTGGCAGTGTCATCAAATCAATAAAATGCACAAATGCAATACATTATCACAAATTTATGATTTGGGAAAAGTTTGGAAGTATTAATACAAAATATGAAGTATTTAGCTTGCTAAAATTTAAACAGAATGACAATTAGCAATTGAACAAATATAATTTAATCAAATCACAATGATTTAAAAATATTCTTCATATTCAACAACATCATTATTTACCTCGCTAATCAATCCATTAAAAATAATTAAGCACAAATCACAGAAAATATGACAAAAATAAACAGGTCATTCCGGTGAGGACATTTCACATTAGTATACTATGTTGACTCTTGAAAATTTTTTTGGCAAATAATTTCAAAATTGAGTTGTTTTATTTAAAACAAACATCAAGCAGAATATTTATAAATGCATACTAAATTGCAATCTGCAACAGCCACAACATAACTCATGTCAAAACTACAACATATATCATTTAAAACAGTTCCTTTGTTAAGCTCTAATACTGGCTGTTTGTCAGTACTTAAACAGTCTGGCCATTTTATAATGGCAGAAGCATATTGCAGTGACCAGGGTTATGCGCCTTTTCCACTTTTTGTGTCTTAGCTGGAGACTTTCCTACGTCTGATCCACAATCATACACCCAAATAGATCCTTTTTCATCTCCAGCAAAAAGAATTTTGTTTTTCACACAAGAAGTTATATTTATGTAAAATTGTTCAGTGTTAGACCATTTCAATTCACTTATAACTGAAGGCATTACAATTTTTCGTAGGCCTATTTTCTTCAGTATTGAGCTGCCATAAAAATATAACTCCTGTCTGTGCGCATTTTGTTGCAATCAAATCATCATCAATTATGGCAAGCCCATCCACAACAGGCTCGTCATCAACATTAAGAAATTTTATTTCGGTAATTTCATTGAATTTTTCAAATTTTGAACCCTTAACATCACTGTTTTTTATTTTTAACGCATCGCCTGTTTCCCAACAAAAAAGACCACCTTCAGATGCACAAAAAAGATATTTTCTTTAGTGTTATCATCTTTAAAGGACTGAATAATAAGTTGTCAAACAACGCCAATTTTTTATGATATGAATGATAATCTGGTAACGAAGGTATCCCAATATCCCATAAATAAATCTTTTTTTCGTTGCCCGCAGAAAGTAGCAGAGTAGGATGCCCAGGAACGAAGGACATCGTTTGCACTGGTTTACTATGAGATTTAAAATAATTATAAACAATAAATCTTTCTGTATTGATGAGATAGATAAATCCCAAGCAACCGCCACATGCAATTACATTTGAAGAATGAGACCCGACATTTAAAACTGTCCAATCCAGTGTGTAAAATTCTTCGTTTGGTTTTGTAAATTTAGCCCTTACTCTTGCTGAATTTGTGTCTATTAGACAGACACTCTCACTTCCACATGTAGCAACAATATCTCTTGATGATGGGAGAAATTTACAGCACCAAACTTGATGGCTGTAATCGCTCGCATCCACACCGGAATCATGACACTGAAGAAAACAGTGTGGTTCAAACTTATCCTGATAAGAAGATTCTGCTTTTTCAAAAGATGATCTCTTCTTACTAAGCAAAGCCATATCAACTTACAGATAATATTTTAATTTATACCTTTTACTGTTTTACCTAATAAAGAGGAAATATAACAAGCTGATTATGGTGACTGAAGTTCAGAGATACATTTTTGTATTTAGTAACAGCGACAGGACTGACTATAACAACAAACTTCATACTTAGAACATCAGATTCAAACACGGAATATTCCGGTCTGTTGGTACCGGTACAGTGATACCGGTACCTAAGCCCCAGTTTCATTGAGTTTTAAAACATCTAACAGCAAAACAGTCAGCCAACTGACAAGTCCTGAAATCAAACCATACCGGTAGCCTCGAACTGACTGAAATAGCCTAGATGGCCAGATGACGGTGGTACCGGTAAGCTAAAACTGTAAGAAAAGCTGAAAAGGTGGCTTTATCATGTATCCTGTCAGTGTCAGTCTGAAAATGTATATGGCGAACCACAGTCTTTCGTCCCGCCACAGGATTATGGGATTAGTTCTGTAGTTAGGTACCAGTCATTTGTTTTCGAGAGCATCAGAGCATGGACTTCACGCAGTTGTGGCGGAAGACAGGAAGAAGCCGTCCCGGTACGGTAGCCGACAAGCGGTTACCGAACGCGAACCAAAGGACGAGTAATCCAGCAAGCCTCTCGCACATAACTACGGTATCCCCATCCAGGCATCCAGCCATCTCCACCAACTAGGGACGGACCAAAAGTAGGCACTTGCAAATTAGGCACTTTTTTAAGCACTTATTTAGGCACTTTGGAAAAAAAGTAAAAAGGGCGTAATACCTTTTAAAAACATAATTAATTAGGTAAAAATGGTCAAATTAAATGTTGAAAACGCAAATTGCAACGGGCAAACTCAATAGCAATATTTAAAATGCAGTATTAAAGGCAGTCGCACGCGCTTGGTCACCACATATGCTAGGCACATATTTAAGCACTTCGAAAAATAAATAAAATGTCTTAATTCTTTACTTTGTAATTTTGTTTTTGATAAATAAAAATATAAGACATTCCCCGAAAATAAGCCCTAGTGGTAATTTTAGGAAGAAATTTGAAATAAGACACTGTCTTAATTTCGAGGAAACACGGTAAAAGGTGTCTACCGGTAACAATTTATTATTCTCAAATACCACTACTAGACTCAAGTGCATCTATTGGATATTCACCCAGGCCCAGGCTAATCGTTTTGACTAATATTTTTATTTTATTTTTTTTATTGGTGATTATTCCCATTTTTTTTTCGATGTGCCTAGCATATGTGGTGACAGAGCGCGTGCGTCTCCATTTAGTACTAAGTTTTAAAAATCATTATTGGATTTAACTGTTGCAATTTTTGCGTTCAACATTTAATTTAAATATTTTGAACTAATTCATTATCTTTCTAGGAGTTACTACGTCCATTTCACCTTTTTTCGAAGTGCCTAAAAAAGTGCCTACCGGTAACAATTTATTATTTCTAAATTCCAGTACTAGACTCGAGTGCATCTATTGGATATTTGCCCAGGCTAATCAGTGTCAGTAATATTTTTATTTCTCTGTCTTCTATTGGTGATAATTCCGATTTTCTTCTTTTTTCGAACTGCCTAAATATGTGCCTAGCATATGTGGTGACCGAGCGCGTGTGACTCCTTTTAATACTACGTTTTAAATATTGTTATTCGGTTCACCCATTGCAATTTGCGTGTTCAATATTTAATTTGACAATTTTCAACTAATTAATTATCATTTTAAAAGTTATTACGCCCATTTCACCTTTTTTTCGATGTGTCTAAATAAGTGCCTAAAAAAGTGCCTACCGGTAACAATTTATTATTTCTAAATTCCATTACTAGACTCAAGTGCATCTATTGGATATTTACCCAGGCTAATCAGTGTGGGTAATATGTTTATGTCTCTGTCTTTTATTAGTGATAATTGCCATTTTCTTTATTTTTCGAAGTGCCTAATTTTGTGCCTAGCATATGTGGTGACCAAGCGCGTGCGACTGCCTTTAATACTACGTTTTAAATATTGTTACTGCGTTTTCAACATTTAATTTGACCATTTTTAACTAATTAATTATGTTTTTAAAAGGTATTACGCCCTTTGTACTTTTATCCAAAGTGCCTAAATAAGTGCCTAAAAAAGTGCCTAATTTGCAAGTGCCTACTTTTAGTCCGTCCCCACCAACTATCTGTATGAGATTCGAACCCACTATAACACTTAGTCACTATGAGTACCGTACCGGTACGGTACATAACTCCCCTGCAATTTGCGCAGTCAGGCAGTGCACTGCCGTCGCACCATTGATCATCAATGGTCGCACCAAACGACAGGCGTTGAAACACAAATGTTGAATGTGCTTTTAGCACGTGACCTTATTTTCTCCATCGCGCATTTGTCTTGACTTCCTTGTTTACTTCCGTGATCTGATAACTTTTGTAAAGACGACGATTAACCACGCAACCGAAAATAGTTTGTGTGTGTGTACCAATATGAAGGTAAATAATTTTGTTCGCCTACTTTACATCAAGTTGTGCGAAGGGACTGAAGCCTATGGGCAGGGGGTATATTCACTTGGCTAACACAGACAGTCCCCGAACTCGTAATGGGACTAAAATAAGGGAAATCGGAATAAAAGTAAGGGCCAACCCTAACCTGGTACACACAATACAAAAGTACCAAAAATGTGACAATGTTGACACTGCTGTAGGGGCCCCAATACATCACATATATATAGGAACAATACCAAGAAAGGATAAATATTTTATATAAAATTTCAGTGTGTACGTTTGAAAAAGAGAGTTTGCTCACGCTCTATTAGTATCTTTGCTGAATTATAATATTTCGTAATCGTATTATGCTCAAAAGAAAATAATGATTATCAAACTTAGAGTGCTCATACAACTTGTCGTAACCATGGCGATTGTTGCTAGACAGAGACATGACTCATTTTGGATTATTCGCCAATACAAAATACCATTCACACAACCTTGTAAACAATATTTGCACTTGGATTCTGAAAAGATATAGATATAGAAAACGTTACTTAAAGTATTCTGAAACAGATATAAAACAATGACACGTGTCTATCTATTGTAATAGCATCAAGCTAGATAACTGATTGATACTTAAAAAAATAAAATAAATAGCGAAGATAAAATTGTATCACGACAAAAAGGTAAATATGTAATGAATATAACATTTCAAAAGTGAATATATATAGTAGTACATATTCGGGATAAAAGTATCAAGTAATAATTTTCATCTCGTATTTTATTATATATTAACAAATACAATAAGCAACATCTACACTATTACCCTGGCACTCTGTAGGCCTTCCATTTTTACCATTACAGACTCGAGTTCTAGTCTTTTGACAAGTTCTGAAGAAAAAATCCCAAGTACATGGACCAAAAGGGCTCCATGCAGACCAAGTTCCACACCCAGTCGGGCACTGTTGACTTTCATAGAGGTCGTCATCGTTGCAAGTAGTGGCCTCGCATTCCCGACTTCTATAAATGCTCTTACCACAAGGATTACAACTTCCTTTCCACTCGGACCATGGTCCGAATAAACGATCAATTTTGCACTTTTCACTATTGCATGATTTAATTTCTTCATCGGGTCCTGGACAGAACCCTCCTATGGGTTTACAAGTCCTAGTTCTTGTACTGACACCGCTATTACATGTTAACGAGCATTTACTCCACCTGCTCCATTTGTTCCAAGAGCTGCATGGAACTATTTCACAAGACTCATTCTCTGTCGTTCTACCCGTGCATTGGGATTGATCCATGCCGATGCAACGACGCCATCGTTTTTTATTCCCTTTGCCACATGTTGCTGAACATTCAGTCCAGTAACTCCATGTTGAATAATATGTGGCAGCGCCTGATCTGGCGTTAGGAATTTCTTCTTTCGGATGATAGCATAACGTTATATCGCAACAGCCTTCGAAACTTCCTCTTAGCGGCTTCAAATCCTTATCCTCAATTGGGCGATAGGGACAATGATTTGGCACTCCCGTTGGTTTATATCTTGGCGGGCCACAAGGTCTTGCCCCAAACGACGTAAATGTGTCGAGCAAGGAGTTTGAATGCCTTGCAAATCCTCCAAAAATCTATCTCTGATATTTTGATGTGCTTGTGGTACTTGCAGGCCACTTCCAGTTTTTATCATGTCCAGAAGCGATGAAGATCCGGGACGTAGTAATTCGTCAATTAGATTTGATTCGCCTGGTTTTGCCGGGTAATTGAAAACGAGAGAAAAAGGAGTCACTGTAACATCTTGCTTTGGTAGAAGATTATATTCATCTAAGTTATGAGCACCATATTTCCCACTTTCCACCAATCGCCAAAATACCCAATGATCAGATGGATCCATCGACTTCCCAAAATCAAAAAGATAGTTATAATAAGAGTTTTGTGCATGTTTATCCAGTTTACAGCCGGACACCAGGCAAGAGTGATAACTTTCAATTGCTGATTTTGCATTTTTATCGTCGAATTTCTGACAAGGTGGTCGACCATAATAAAGTGCACTTGGTATTTTATCGTCGTGTTCCGTCGGAGATGCGCTCACTGTTACGTTGTTGACATCAACCGGATAATAGCATTTCTTTTTCATCCAACATCCGGCAATTAGATAACAATCGTATTCTTTTATACCTGTTCGAAATAATAATATTATTCTGTTTTGAAGTTAAAATAGTATTAACTGTTATTACCTAGATTTAGACTATGACGTGGCTAAAAAGAGAACATATAGAATCCAAAGTCCGAATAATGATATACAGTGTAGATCAGAACACGAGCCTTGAGAATTACATGACCATATGTATTTAGTATGATTGGGCATTTTTCTCTTTCCCTAATTCCCTCTCTCATTCCACAATTTTTGAATTTGACAGAAACGGCGATGTCGTTCCGTATATAGTGCTATGTGACATATGACCTTTCAAAATTTCAAATTGTCCTAAGTGTTGACCCAGTTGACAATAAATCTCTCTCTCTCTCTCTGGCATTACATTGGGCACACACCGTTTAACATAGTTTTGAGTCTTACTTAAAATGCCAATGTAAATATTCCAACACACAAACCTTTCCATCCTGCAATTTTTGGTTTATGCTTAAAATATTCTAACATCTCTAATGTCTTGCATCCTTCGTGGTTAGTTCTAATAATTTCGTCAAAGGTATCAAGGAGACATTCATTCAAATAAGGAGTCCATTCTCCAGTCTGAATAAAATGCAATAGAAATATGATTGAGTTCCGGAATTAAAATATTCAGTTGTTCACGAAACTGAAGTGAAACTGTCTCAGTTTGAAAACATAACGATCTGAAAATTTGATACCTTATCTTTAACTTTTCTCGCTTCTTCAAGAAAAACTTTGTTTCTTATTGCAAGTTGGCATACCGGGACACCCGCCATTACGCTGTGACCAAACTTTTTCCTATAATCTCTCAGTTGAACATCAAAAAAACATCCTGGCATTTCCCTGCACTTCGTCCTGCTTTCATCAAGTTCAGGAAGATCCGGATCACAAGGGATTCTGAAGATGAAAAAAAAACGGAAAAATATTTACCCTGGGATGCTCGTATGATGTTTTATTTGTACTTATACACATATATATATGCTAAATCATTTATCATACTCGTTCGGTCCATATGAGTGGTAAACACCGGTCTTTAATACCTTTCATCTAACTTTAATGTTTAATATAATGAGTGGAACTTTTATTTACCGAGAAATATAGATAAATCACCAATTTTACCCCCATTGCATTTTTGACTTTAACAACCACAATGAAAACAGACTTGTCAATGGTCATTCAAAATGTTATATAAGTCTTCGTTTCAATAATACTAAGAGGATAACATTTGTTGCTAAAGCTCCGTTTACCTGATACAGTAGGGAATATTTAGCGGAGGATTCCTGGTGTATCTCAAAGCCTTTTTGTCTTCCATATCACAGTTATCTGGGAATATAGGTCTCTTGTGGCATACAAACGCGGGTAATTGTGGAAATCCAGGATACGGATCTGGTAAAATAAAAATATCGGTATGAATGATCTTGACATCGAAAAGCGTGGTTGCTAAGAGAAGAACAATATAATGAAACATTTATACAGCAAGAAATTTGAAATGCGTCTTTAAGAGAGCATGCATTACTAGAAATAGTATTAACAAATACTATATCGGGAGATCCAGGTTCGATCTGAAAAAACTTTTTGGCGTTTCATCAAATGGGTTAATGGGACAATAGTCCATCAAATAAGAGGAATGAAACTATATAAAAATTAACTCTTGTCTATACCTTCTCCTCCGTAAGGAAGAAGCACAGAAGGAAATGGCCCAATATTTAAAAATCTTGCTTTTCCCTTAATTGATCTCATGATATCTTTTGCATCGGATAACATTTCTTCATCTGTTTTATCTGGATCGATCGTCGGAACAACTTTACCTTAAATAATGATGTACGGTTTAGGCCAGGGCTTCCCAAACTTTTGAGCTCGGGGCCCCTTTTAATATACGAGGTGTGGCTAAAAAGAAACGAGACTGACGTCACAGATTGCGCAACACGATTAACCATTGGTAATCAACACTTTTACAGTGTGGTGTAATATGTGTTCTTTGTTCAACAGCTTTTTGACACAATATCGCAATTATTTTTGCTCTTTAGGAGCCATAGGTGAATGTGATTAATTGCTTGTTGAAAAAAAAATTGCCGTGCGAGATCTGATTGAGTTTTTTGGCGATAGGGGGTTCAATTGCAGAATGACGATTGAGCAATAAATTAACATTAAATTTTGTGTCAAACTTGGAAAAATGCATGTCAACTGGGCAACATTTAATCGTTGAGCTTTCTGCTCCTCAGTCAACAGCCTTGGCACCATTTTGGCACTCACCTTTCACAAGCCAAAAGTGTCAACCAAACTGGTGCGAACCGTTTTTTTTTGTCTTTTCCAACTTCGCAATGACGCGAATTGTTGAGCGACGGTCGCTGCGAATCAACTGCCTTTCACAACTGAACTCACAACTGATACCTTTTCGATGTTGGTATCAGTTGTGGAAGTGCAAGGCCTTCCTGACTTCGAATCATCCTCCACATCCTCCCTGCATCCCACAAATCGCTTGTGCCATTCAAAAACTCTTGTTCTGGACATGGAAGAATCTCCATAAACATCACACAATTTCTTCAAAGTCGCAGTCGCCGTTTTTCCAAGTTTGACACAAAATTTAATGTTAATTCATGCTCAATCGTCATTCTGCAATTGAACCCCCTATCGCCAAAAAACTCAATCAGATCTCGCACGGCAATTTTTTTTTCAACAAGCAATTAATCACATTCACCTATGGCTCCTAAAGAGCAAAAATAATTGCGATATTGTGTCAAAAAGCTGTTTAACAAAAGAACACATATTACACCACACTGTAAAAGTGTTGATTACCAATGGTTAATCGTGTTGCGCAATCTGTGACGTCAGTCTCGTTTCTTTCTAGCCACACCTCGTATATATATATATATATATATTAAAATTTTTCGCGGCCCTTGTCCACGTTAAATAATGCCAAACAGTTCGAATTATGCTTTTTGCTGTTTTATTGGCACAGCTAATTTTCAACTTTAACATGTCTATACTCAATAACAAAAATAAGCACATATTTATTCAGATTACCGATTCTCATTTATTCAGTGTCATGGGTACGAATGCTTTTTGCTGCATAGCAAGGCTGGATGTATGTTTATACAGGCCTAAATGATGAATTACGATGTCTGACTACCGACGGCAGGGTCCTTATCTCGAATTGTTCACTCTTATTGATCAAACTTAGCATAAGGCAGCATTTTGTGCGACGCCAAATTTATCAGGGAAAAAATTCATGGCGCACCTACACGAAAAATATACTACCTCGGAACAAAACACAATTTTGTCATCGTTAATATGTACTAAATGTCTTTTTTTCATTATTTCTGCCTGGTTTTTCTTTAAAATGCTAAAGAAATCACTCAAGTTTGATGAACTCGGTTCAGCAAATGAATAAACTGCAGCCTATACGAAATTGCAGCATGTAGGGTTTATCCATTATATATTGCGTAACAATAGACCCTACGTACAGAAAGTAAACACATAGAACGGTAAAAAAGACTTTGATTCATAAACACGTCATTTGAAACAATTAAACATTTAGAATAAATATGATATGTAATATGTTTCGAGGCGCACTCTTCAAATCGTCTTCGGAAACCGCTAGCTTGACGATTAAAGCCGTCATTGTTATGCAAACCGCAAATCGGGTTTCACGATCAGAATATGCATTGTTATGCAAGCGCCATCATTCTACCGTGTTTCCTCGAAGATAAGACCAGGCCTGAATTTTAAAAAGGATTTCAATATAAGCGCTCGCCTTTAAAAAAGACTTAGTCGATAGCGCAACTTTTTTTTTTGACTCAATCCCGTGGAAGTTTCAAGTTTGCTAGGACGTCGCAAAATTTCGTGAACCTTTCAAACAAACCATATCTTCTACTTTCACTGGAAAAAAGAAAGATTAAATCGATCTCACCTGTGATGTTGCTTTAATAGTAAAGTTTAATTCTGGAAATTCGGTTTTCTGTAGATAAAGATTATTTGTTCTTGGTTCAAAAAGCGTTGCGCACTCCCATTTTCTTTGCGATTTCGTATTCATATAAAGCAGGCTTTTCTACCAAGGCCCATTAATTGCGATTTCACTAACTGTCGTTAAGTTTTGTTTGTTCGTTTATATGAAACTCATTGCGAAAAAGGTCTTTTATTGAAAGCTATCAATACGTATTTTTCACGGGTCGCAACTTGAGCATATTTTTGAAGGGCGTCACAATACGATGAAGTTCGAGAACCACTGCGTCCCAGTCAATAGCAAGAAATCTTTTCTACTTTTTTAAATTGTTAATAGTCTATATGTAGCAGTTATTTTAAATAAAAACGTGCTATTTATAAGTAAATGGAAATCGGTATTCATATTTCGTATAATAGAAAATCTCATTATTCTCTATATCCTAAAAATAAACCCTGGTGTTATTTTCGAAAGAAAATTGAAGACAGTGTCTTATTTTCGGAAAAACACGGTATTATGATGATGTATTAACTCGGAATCGTGAATTCTTTGTTTCACACTATTTGTATAATAACTGTATTTTTAATCAAAAGTCTGAAAAAAGTACAATCTATATGGTACTTAAAAATTGGTGTTCTCTTTGCGGCCCCTAAAATTCGTTTCGCGGCCCCTTCCAGGGCCGCGGCCCCTAGTTTGGGAAGCCCTGGTTTAGGCAACTACAGAGCAGAGAACAGTCCAATTTTTTAGATCCAATTTTTAACAGAATACATATAGACTCACAACATCACATGAATAATGAAATAAGTGGCTTTATAAGTAGCTTGTGAGTTTAAACTTAGATGAGTGACTAGTTGGTGTTTGGGATGTTTCCAGGTTTGATGTCCTTGATGTCCCAATTCATTAAAATAAGCGAAATTTTTAGACCAATTTACTTCAGAAAGTTTCGTATAATTTAAAAAAACTATTTTGAATTTTTCATTGTCATGATTTTTACTTTTCTGTTATTATAATATCGTACTATTATTATAAAGATATCGATCACATTGATAATTTTCGTCTAATTGGCGCCTTTCGTATAAAACAAACACGTAAATGCCGTCGTAGACAAAACCAAACTATTTACTGGAGTTTCAGACTTTCGGTGTCATAAGTTTTTTTAATATATAATCATGCTTTGTGTCATTTTTTCGATAAATTTGTCAGAATATGCGCATAAATGATTGAAAAAGAGATAGGAAATTTATTTTTAATAAAAATTTGACATAAAATGGTGTTAAATTGATTTTTATATACATATCATCAAAAGTTGTGATTTTGGATCTGTCAGACATATATATATATAGATAACCTAAATATGTGTGTGGGGGATATTGGGGTCGCCCCTTAGGGGTGTTCATTAGTCATTCAAAATATCACACTATCAGCTTACGTGGTAGAGCGTAGCAAGATCCATTTCTTCCGATGCAACAGTGCTTAGCGGATCTACATTCATTTTTCTCAACGTCGCTTATTCCATCCATCGCAACACATCGTGGTGTGTTTGCATCTGCATTTATTCATATAAAAATAAATATTTAATTAATTAAAATGAATATAAAACCAGAACGGCGGAGTCCGAGATAAGGGACGGTATTTAATTTTTTACAATGTTATTGTGTGGAGCCACATTTTTTCAGGATTCTCTGGATTACCTGCTATTAGTCCGGCAGATAAGGGTACCTTTTTGGCCCAAGTTTGATTTCAGGCATAAAGTTTTTTTTATTTGTGATTATTCATCTTGGGGTCATTGCCCATCATTTCTACATGGGTGTGGAGTTTGCAGCCTTGAGCAATTTATTTTACGGCTCGATATTTGTATTAGTGTTTTTCGTCAAACCTGTACATCATAATGACGCACAACCTGAACCATAACCTGTTACAATATTATGTTCAGGTTGTGCGCAAGCTTGGTGCACAAACTACGCAAGCACCAAATTTACTAGGAAATAAAATCAATACCTTTTAGGTATTTGTTGAGCCCAGCTTTGGGTCGCGACCCGTATACAATCAATATATGGAAATACTGTCGAAACATACGCGTAAAATAAAGAGTACTATTTCAAAATACTCGTTTTTGTTGCAATTAACAATACAAGCCTGCTAATGCAGTCGCCAGTGGTTCAAGTGGATATACACCCGGTGGAGAACAGTCAACTATTTGTTAGCGAGAATTGTTATGCAGCGGGATGATCACGACGACGCAGTGAAAGATAATGATATCACGAGAACAAGAATGAGAAAATTGCTACATTTTATAGTATATCCCTGGGGAAGAATGTAGTTCATTCTTATGTTCCATGCCAATGCTTTTCAAACTACCAAAGACTCTCAACACTTTTACTTCTTCTCTTCCATAAAAATACATTCTTATTATATATTCGCATTTCCATCTGTTTGTTCGTGCTCCCAGATAACCGATCAGTGGCCTCCAAGGAGGACGGGGTCCCCTTTTAAGAAACCATGTCATAAACTAAAAGAGGCGACCGTGCTTCTCTTGCCTGTTATCATGCTGTCCCTGGAATTCAGCTACAACAAAAATTTCACAAAAACGGATTTTTAAATTTTATGATTTTATTAATATTCTCAACAATGAATGATATACGGGTGGTAAAATGCCAAGTTATTCCAACAACATGATCATGTTTTGCAATTTACAACCAATGTTTTGTATGTAACTTTGTTTGACAGAGGCCCAAGAGCTCTAACTACAAATATCAAAAATGTGAGGCCAAAAAAGTCACACTACAACATTGTCAAATGTGCTGTATTTACAATAGATAACAGGTTTACCAAAAAGAATTACATGAAAAATGGTAAAATAAAGATCAATTCAGCAATATCTACTTGGGTGATATGCATCTGTTGATGATTTTATGTGTTTGTTTCGGAAGTTCAATAACAGAATTAATTGTGGTTGTTGGGGATGTTTTAAAAAAAGGTTGCATGGAAAAAAGTTTTCACAAAATAGTAGTAGAGAAGTAGAAAAAATACTCCCATGTTTTTTTTTTCATTTGATAACCACGCCTCAGAACTTCCCCGATAAGTATACGCAGCAATTGCGAGAGGCAGAAATGCCAAGATGGGATTTCATCGCATTGCAAACCAATATTAGCAATTCTTATATATATTCGCGCATTCCCATCTGAAAAGCGTGGAAAAGATTATACCCATCTACACACTTTAAGAACTATGTCAGATGGGCGTCATATTATCGAATATCAGTAAAGGAATAGTGCAATGGGAAAAGACATATAAGGCTGAACTTTCAGTAGTATGCAATCAAATAATCTTATTGTAAAATATATATTTAAAAACATTTCGTCACGCCAACTGCAGTCCGAAACTTTTTGTCTATGGGTGAGTTTAGATACCAATTGGCACTCATGTAAACTGGTAAGACTGTAAGAGGCACGCGATGGAGCAGATACTAAGAGTATCCATCCCCCAGCTGTCATTTGAGTGGGTACTGCTGTTTTTATTGCAGATGTTTCTGATCTTTTTGTATTAAAGATTTACTGGCATCACCGATTTAAGGATGTTGGAAACCAACACGCAATATTACAAAACTTACTTTCAACACGCGGTTTGATGAATAAAAAAGCTGAAACTAGTATTCTTTAGAACAGCATACAAATTCTATGGAATGAAATCATACACAAAAGCTCGTCAAAAACCTATAGCTCAATAATCAAGTGGAATTTGATGCATGTGCGCAAAAATGTGCGCGTTAATACGTACAACCGAAGCACGCAGGAAAATGTGTGTGATGTACTAGTATTCAAAACGTTTGACTTAACTATGTTGGCATAACAGGTGCACATCTCGGTTTCGCATACGCATACCTTCTATCTCTACAAGGATATATTAATTTTGCCAAAGTCAATGCAGCACTGAAAGGTTGCGGTTCTTCCAAAAGAAAACACGTTACACATCTTTAGATACCAGTGGATGGTTTTACATGGCCTTGTTCGGAGAGAAAGACGAGGTCATATATTCCAATCCAATTCAATTAATAAAATATTTCCCAAGTCCCTAAGCTTAAACTAGGAAAACGAAATGCGCGCGGCAACGCAAATGTAGTTTGAAGAGCGCAATAGAAAATGGCTAGATGCTGTCGATGGATCTTGGCTTGTATTAGTGAAATAAACTACCATTTATTCTACTAAAATTGAATTTCTGACATTGTAAGGAGATTCAATGTTACTATGTATGCAAAACTAAACCATGTAGTTATGAAATAATTGTTTTTAACAAAAAGGCGCTCCTGAAGTATTCGTACCAAGATGGCGCACAACCCGAACATTGTATGTTTACCAGGTTATGGTTCAGGATGTGCGTCATCTTGGACCGAATACTTTATATCCACTTAAAAAAAATTGCTCAACATTATATACTCCACACCCACCTGGGTATCATTATATATGTCATATACATTATATCTAAACAATAAAAAAATTTTATGTCCCAAAACAAGTTAAGGTCCGATTCTGCCGGACTATATATGATCGTTGTATAGTCACTTTGTGTCAAGTGCGTTTCGGATAACCGTTATTCAATTTTTTGTAGAGACACTCCATTGCAGGGCTATGGTGTTAACAAAAGTATATTCTTCCCATTACAACTTACAAAAGCAATTTTTCTTATTAAATTTTATCTGCGTATGGTGTACTTGATTATGGAGCACGTACATACATTTTCTCTCGAATCGCACGTATGGTATATAGTATTGTACGACCAAAAAATAGCGTCCTATATATTCTAAATTTCCTACGTTCATACTTACCATTCAATCCTTTTGGACATTGCCGAGGTCGTATTGATAGAACGAGTGCGAAATAAATGGTTAATTGAAGCAAAATTAATAGTTGCATAGTATATATATAAAATTTTACTATTACGACCTGAAGAAAAAATCATATAGTCAGTGTTTCTGTGTTGCGAACGTTCAGTACGAGTAGCATGTTTCATGAATTGAAAACGAAATAACAATAGCTTATGATTTAAAGTTGGGGGAGTAAAAATGGAATTATTATTACCATTGAGATTTATTTACTCAATGTAGTACACTCCTGGACAAATCATGAGCTGCACTCAACATCATTAATCGCGGACGCCGGCAACACACACACCCAACTTCAAAGATTGTTGGTAATTCGTCGAGGTATATTTTCTCTCTTCTTAGTTTGTTATATTTTGACTTTCAAACTATTGTTTGCTACTCAATGATATTTTTTAGTTTTGTATAGCGTTCCATTTAATACTCTACTACAACGCATAGCTCAACCTTACAATTTATTACAACCTCACAAAAATTAGAAGTTTGAGAATTCATGTCCCGAAACTTTGTCAATTCCAAGTGGTCGTTGGTATCTCGCAGAGGTGTACTGAGCCCCAAAACAACCGAGTAACACCTGAACTCTGAAAAGGAACTGCCAAACGCATAGTTCACACATTAAAAAGAGCTGCCCTGCACCTACTCGTTTTCAAATAAAATAATTTATTTAACCTAATGCCATAATCCATTTCTGACTGTGATGCCACGGTCACTATCCACGTTAGCTTTTGTTATTTCTAGGGAGGGATCGTAGCCCAGTGTTTCTCAATTCATTTAACTTTCCGGTACTATCACAAAACTACAATCTGTTGTGTTTTAGGCTACGCATATTGCTGTTGTAACATCATCAGAAACAACTTATGAAATTAGTCAAGCTAAACAAATCCAGCCCTCGGGATATAGGTTAAAATACGAAAGCATATGACAATGCTACATTCATTTTCATTTTTTCGTTATCGCTTCTTTGCCTTCCTGAATACCTATCTCAGCCACTTGGGCTAGGTGTTGAAAATCCCCATTAGGTACTTTTTACATGGCCGTACTCTCAATAGGTTTAATGGACTTTCTTTTTGAAGGTGGAAACATCATTCTAAAACAGACAAAACGATCAAACAAACAAAAACCTGTCGTAACCAATTTTATTTACATTTTTTGTGCAAGCATCCAACAAATTCTTGAAAAAACCCAGGAAAAAGTGAGGAATGACGTACAAAATTTCGTCCTGTCATGACCGTCGATCAGGAATAGCTATACCGAAAAAGAAATAGTCATCGAGATTTCTGCGTCACCATAGTAGGAATGCTGCTGGCCTTCATCGACCGTTGAAAATAGTGAAATAACAAATATTTCATTAATTTGGATTGTGAATTTCAGACAAATTCATAAGTGCTTAGAACATAAACAAAATTCAATCATATTTCTATTGCAAAGCTTGCTTAAAGTCAAACGGCGACATGATAATAATGTGATAATTGTTTAGTATTACTATTATTAGTACACAATTTTTAATACCAATAAATAAATCAGAGAAGGTAGAAAAATAGGAGTGTTATACCATTCGTAAGATCAACATTTCAATCATCAGACCATGTCATCCATAGCGTATAATTCATTGGTTGTTTTTACACATCCTAATACTGTATATCTTACCTATATGATCTGTTCTCGGCAAAAATTTCTGGCTGTGAAAATTCAAAATAAATGCTGACACTTATTTGTTGATTTGTTACAGTGTTACTAAAAAAAAGAACGCAGTAACACAAGATTTTTACACTCTTTATTGGGTACTTATCGTTTATATTTCAGTCATCATCATGACGATATCATGATTGATATTGCCGGAGGCAGTTTCGGGCCGGGATAATCGTGCGTTTATCTTTCACGTTTTACTCAGTTGCTTTTATAATGCTTCATGAAAAGGTAAATTTCCCATGAACAAAAAGAAATAGGTTATTAAACTCATTCTTCAAATAATGTATTATATATTGGTACTGACGTTTTCAAAGTCAATCAATCACCAACACGAACACGTGACATTTTCCGCGCTTAAAAAGCAGCATGCCATGTACATCAGTTGCCCATGTATTCTCATATGTCTAGTCTGTATAGTTTCATATGTAGCGTAATAAATTTTGGAAAATCGGTAAACATTATTAATAATATCATAGTGTCTCGTGTTATAGTAAAATACTATATTATTGTGGAGGTAATGGAGGAGCCATGAGTCTGAGATTTCCGCAGTTTCAATTGGCCAACCACCACTACACAAGATACATCAATGAGAGCACTACCATTCATATTTTTTATAATATGTTTTTGTATATATGTATTGCATATGAAATACATCAAATTATCCAGAACATTTTTGGCTCTCTCATCTATATTCGTTCGATACTTTATAAAGTTTATTCTGGAATAAGTGGAGGAAAAAAGGATGGACACTTAGATCTATATCACGTCTACAAAGTATCATAATCTATACTGAACGAGATGCTTTACTTAATATATATATGAAAGATATTTGTATAACTACTAAACGATATGCCTACGACATCTTATAGGCCTATTTCGCTGGCTAAAAAAAAACGTTTGTTTGTGTATATATCAGCACACACAGTTGTTTGATGTAAGCTACAATTGGTTTAGGATCAAGCTCAGTTATTGAATGTAAAGGAAAATGTTTATAAAATCAATGAATCATACTAAATTTAGTTCTATAATGACTCATGAGTAACCACCTCATTTATACCAACTTTACAACCGATATCAAAACCATAAACGTCGAAGGTCAAATATCCTTTTCATTACTACGTCACAGTATATCATATATCGAAACTTGCCACGGAAGGGTCAAGTTACATCTGGTACATCCTTGTTCGGTTTCTATTTTTATCGAAATAAAATAATGCTTTTCATAAACAGACATAATTTTCCACGTATATTAGTAATTACGATAAGATTATAATTCTATAAATTATCAATATTTTTATTGAACTATTTTTACTTTATATTTATAATTACGGTATCGCATGTCCGCTCGCAAAGTATAAATGAGTTATTTGCAAAGGACTGTGATAACAGCAATGAGAATTTTGGTGTAGTGCACTAAATCAGACGATGTAGTCCAAAAACCTTCGTGGCCTTGGAGGAAACAGGAGTCGGTGAATAAAAATAAACGAGTCTATTACAGGGTGGAGATCCGACTGATTTCACAAAAAATGAAATATTATGCAGGCTCAGTAAAATAACTTTAGCGATTTGAGCGTTTATTAGTTTGTATCTATATTCCTTCAATTTTTTTTCAAGTTGGAATGTCAACTAAATTTGCATGCACTTTTTTGAACGCTTGCACTTGAATCTATGTGAGATAGAAGCGTGTATTAGATAGAAACTGTAGCCTCAGTAATGTCCGTTTAACACTACTAAAAATATGTGGTTTTAAATCGATTCTACAACATTTGTGCCATCTCAAGATATTCTCAATATAAAAAGATCGAGTTTAAACGCAAATCCGGTTTTCAGGACAGTCATGAATTCAAAAAAAATTGATGAAAATAATATTTCAGTTAAATTTTAGAAATGTAGTAAGCAAACTTTATTCTTGAATTTTTTCAATTTTCTTGAAACTCGTGATCTAAAATGATATTCATTTCCAGAAACACAGAACAGTGACCAAAGAAATTAGACAGACTTTGAGTTATTCAACCGCATACAAACTGATTTATTTTGTGACAGGACTCGGATATGTATAAGACTTGAACAGCATCATTGTGAGGTCATCAGAAAATTAAATATGGCTTAAACAAGAGATATGAGGGCAAAACAATTATATTATTCCTGTAAACATATTTGAGTTGATATTAACAAATTTAACATTTATATATACTGTTTATACGACAGGCTGTGAAACGCCGATAGACTTAGCTTGAGGAATATTGCCGACGACATCGTGTGGGCACAACATGTTTTATCGACTTTTGTTAATATTGGTAATTTTAGTTTTATCCGAAGCAAGGATATGCAAAAGTCCTAAGACAGGTGAGATTTTTTATATTCAACACGGGGTATATGTATATACACATCGTTTTGTTATTATATTGTTGTGAAAAAATCGCTTTTCTCTTCAACGGATGGACCAAGAGGTTAAAGCTTGTCGTTGCCACTAGAAGGCTATTACTTTTTTTCATTTTTTATTCTTCATATGTTTATAACATTTGTAATAATCAATAAAATAAGTGAAAATGGTTGACAACGCTGCTTTTTCTGTATATTCGAAACCTTTTCAGAATAGGCATTGTACAAATGAAACTGCCCATCAACCGACTACATTTTAAGTAAAAATGTCAAACTCATGACAGTAAAAGATTATTGGCAGAATATAATGATATGTAGTATGATAAATTTCTTTCTTTTTACAAGACAATTCAAAACGTTGTAAAAAATCAATTGAATCGGGGATGGATTTCCTAGATACGAGAGAATGTTCGAATAACAAAGAATGCTGTGAATGGGACGGAAAATGCTATTTTGAAATTATTGCTAAGGGTACGCTCTAACATTAAAATATTAAATTATAAACTGGTTTGTTGCATGTTTGTGTTTCAAAGTTTTACAATCTGGTATTGATGACAATTCACTTGAATTTTGTCAAAATCATAACTGATAATTTTTGCTATCAACTATGTAGATTGTAGACCAATTCTTAAATATCACAGGGAGTTATTATATATAGTAATAGCCGTATTGTTCCTGCTGAGTAAAGATTCCAAATATGACTTAGTATGTTACAGGGGCGTGAGTTTAGGAATAATTTTATTCATTACCAATTTCGATAAAATGTTTTTTGAATAAAATGTGTGTATCGGCACATAATTGCAGAAAAATATTCTCGCTGGATTTTTCCCTAAATTTTTGTCAATATGAGGTCTACGAAAGATGTTGCAAGAAAATTTTTAAGATGGTTTTAGTTTTATGCTTTACCAAATCCGAAAAATTTCACAAATTAATTTTTTCTGCGTAGAGAAATTATCTGGAATTGACAAGGGTAAAAGTATTGAAGACAAGTTTCTGAAAAAAGCTAAAGCAGAAACAGAGGACAGTGATATATCATCCAGAAGGTTTCTGACCATGGGTATGTGAATGCAGTATCATATAAGTTTCAAAAACCATATTATGTTTTATGAGAAACGATGTTTTCGATTCTGGCTCATAGCCTATCCAACTTACACTTTCGGTGTGACGTCAGCTTGGATTTAATATGGTAGCTGTAAACTGCGACGCTGACGGTACTTGATGAAATATGTAATGCCATATTTCATATTCCACATCACGTCTTCTGCAACAATAACTTTCGTTGCTTCAAGTGAAAATAAGTTCATTTTTCATGAGGTAATATTTTTTCTAGTCTGCTGATCTGAAAATCTTGTGTTTATATGTTTTCAACTTTAACTTTATTTCCTAGGTGGGCCGTGTATTCAACCTGCTTCCTCGCCGACACCGATATTCCCCAATGGCTGTGAAGTTACGAGAGCAACACCCTACGTTACAGATCCTCCAGTTGATGTTCCATATTGTGTACGGTAAGATATTATTAAAGTAAGTTTTCATAACCAGCTTCACATTTGGATTAGTTTCTGATCTAATTGTGATCTTTCCTTAATAATGCTCCAAGATCCAGCATACAAGCAGGAATCACACCGCATCCACTTTATAAATATTGAATCGGTATATCATTTTTTGCTCTATTGTTTAAGTTAAAAGTTAATGGAGGCTTCTCTAAGCTACTATTTTCATGCTTATTTTCCGTAACAATATATAATCAGCAATAAGCCTAAGAGGATATAACAATTCAAACACATCGTGTGACTAGCCTAGTACATGTATCAGCGAAGATAGATATATATATTTTATATATTATTTTAAACTACGCCATTGTACAAAAAAATAACAAACGCAAAACAAACACACGGGGTGAAACTCAAAAAAGATATGAGTGATAAATACAAACCCAATCAAGCTCCAAGTCTGATAATTGTGATAAATATTCAACCGCGTCACACACGTAGCATCAATGAAAACAATAGTTATGGAATTCAAAACAAACTGATACAGTCGTACAAGCGTATAATTAATTAATTACGAAGGCATTCGAAATATATCGCGTGATCTGCTTGAAACGTGACAACAGGTACAAAGATGCAAAAGTAGTACATATTATTTGAATCCCATTCTTCTATTGCCTATATCTCGTCGATGCTTGGTTTGAGCATCTGCTTTTTAACGGTATTCTGAAGCAATTTGACCGAACTTAGGCTCTGTCTAAGGCAAGGTAGAGTGATTGATTCATGCAATCAAATACAAAAACTATACGCATGTCCATATGTAAAACTAAATTTAATCATTGCTTTCAGAATTCCTTGCGAGTCTGGCAACAATGAATTGGAAAAAGATGCATTTGCTTGCCTCAGTAGACCAGGATGCTACTTCGATCAAGAGTTGTTCGAATCCAGGAAATACATGGGCCAACAAATGTTGCCTGGTGTCCCAGTGTGCCATTTTGCTATTAGAAATCGAGTATTTCAAAAAGAGGCAAAAGCCTATATGCAGAGGGTGAGTTTGTGTGCTCTTTCTATAACAGATTTCATGGAGATACTGAATAATGTCTGCTTCTATTACAAGACAAGAGTAAATTGGGTGGTGTTAAAACTACGCATTTCAGGTGCCCTACCATTTTCTCGTGGCAAGGTTCTCAAAATTTATTTATATATATTATACAAAAAACTTGGGGACACGCATAAAATGACGAACCAGGACTAGGAGAGACGGTGCGTGAGAACAATCATACGCAGCGGTACAGTTCAACAAATAATCTGCTCGCCAAGTTAAAACCCTCAGAAGATTCCGTGTTCTGCAAAGCCACACGATTGGCCTGATGATAGCTTGATGAGCAAGCACTTTATTATCCATCCAAAATGCACGGAATGAACAGATAAATCGAAAACACGTCCCACCTTAACGAATGACAGGCGAAAACTTTATCACGCGATCGTTCGAAATGGGGTCACGTGGACAGAGGTGCACGGAGTCAGCCAAGAAAAGTGAAATAAAATATTTAAATTAAATATTTGCAGGCCAATCAGCCTTGGAACCCATACTACACCCACTGTTTGCTGACAAAATATGAATCGGAGATACTGGCTCAACCAGATGGATGCAACCTCATTCCCATGTTAGAACATTTCGGTCGGACAAGCTAAGTTGGCAGGCTGGAAAAGTAAGTCAGATTGTCGGCATGTCGATAATGTCGAAGTAAGCTGACCTCATCCATATTCAATTTCGTATCTTCTTTGTCTATACTTAAATTGATTTGAGATGATGGAGTTATTTTTTAGATATCACACCGAAATACTGTTCGCTAATTGGTGGATGCTGGCGTTACGGTCTTGGTTGTTTCTACCCAGTTGATGATTCGGTGACTATAAAATCCGGAGAGACCGAGCTTGAGCGTCCATTTCCTACAATGCCTCACGGTCGTCCGCGATGCCAGATATTCAGTGATGGAGGGCCACGAGAAAAATTGAAAAGTATGCACTATTGTCTAAAAGCTGGATGTAGGGTGGATCCACAAGTTGGTTGACTCATATTACAACCTTATGTTCAAATATGGAATGACCCTGAACGCATCCCAGCATTGGCATTTGTGGCTCAGCGTTCAGGAAGGAAAAACCAGAGCGGACAACATTTTTGAATACATTCCAACAGAATTAAACATTGGTTTTGGTAATTTAGAAACAATATTTTCAAGTGCAATAAACAATCTGGGCATGTTTTCAAACAATATTGAAGCTCAGTCTGTTTTCCCTCCAGTTCCTAACACTAATATATTGACCTTGGCATCAAATACTGAAAATCCCTTGAACATGGGCAATTTCCACAGCATTCCAGTTCCTAATTTAGCTAATCTTTTCAACGGTGCAGACTTTGAATGGTGTGGACCAGCATTTATGACTCAAGGTGGACGACCTTGCAAGCCAAAAACTACATCCATTCAGCGTCCATCTGACTGTCCATATACTAATGCTGTCCCGAGTTCTCTTTACTGGTTGAAACCATTGAAAGGAAGTATGAAGGGATGTTGTGATATTAATTTGTGTTATTTGTCAAAATCAGAAATACTAGAAGCAAAATCCGGGGATGCTCATTATTACACACAATGGACATTTTGGTCCCAATGTTCCAAAACCTGCGGTGGTGGACTGAAACGAAGACACCGAAACTGTATGAGTTCAGATAGTTCTCAATGTTCCTTGTCTCTGGAGGATGTAGTGATTTGCAACTCACAACAGTGTCCAATTTGGTCAGAATGGTCACCGTGGGGACAATGTAGCTCAACCTGTGTCGGCGGCACGCAAAAAGCAGAGAGGATATGCTTCCCATCAGAAGATTCTTGCAAAGGAAATAAAGAAAAAGTAAGATCATGCAATGATGATATTAAATGTGTGGAGAAATTTGGCAACTGGGGTCTTGGTCGGACGATTGCAATCCTTGTGGAACTATGACATACCGCTCACGAGTATGTATCGTCCCTCCTTGCAACGTTGACGATTTGGAGCAAAATCGTGAATGTAATTACCAGTGCGGTTCATGGGAAAACTGGGAAAGTTGGTCACGATGTTCGTACGGCAGAAACTTCACATGTAGAAAAATACGAAGACGAAAATGTATTCTGAATGGACGAAGCTTCAGAGTGGGATGTAAAGCAGGATCGGCGCTTGAGGAAGAACGTTGTTCTTCTTGTAATATATTCGGGTTATAATTATACGACAAAATACAAAAGCATAAGAAGTATATTATATTGTTCCTTTTTTCAACGATGGCCGAAAAATAAAAAAATAAATTTAAGGTGATAAGAATGACTAGCATATTACGGCTTCCGGTGGTCAGCGTACAAACACAACACAATGGCAGAGAGATAACGTTTCTGTACTTCTAGATAAACGCAGTGGTTGGATTCAGCCGGTTCGAACCGGTTATATATCTCACGGAATTTTATGAGATCAGCTAACCGGTCAGCATTACTGGTTACTGTCAATGACTTTTTGCAACAAAACCGGCTGAAAAATATGACTTTTGTGATGGAACCGGCTGACATAAAATTTGAATCCCACCACTGGATAAGCGTGACACTTACGTTACAACGATGCCCACATAATATGAAGTAAAGTTTACTGTTGTGTGATCGAAATAAGTTCTTCCAAATCTAATAGCGAAAGTTCTTATATATTAGAAGTGAAAGTTAAAACGCTCGATCAAACACTGTAAGATTTTCGAAGTTGAAAAATATACGGAGAAACTATATTTGTTGTAAATCCACACTATTGCATAACATAATATAAGAGTATCATTCTTCTGTTGATTTTTGAAATCCGATAAATTCATCCCAACCTTTTCTACAATGAGATACAATCCAATAATGTTCTTCGTCCGTGACATTACGTAGAAAACCTCCAAGCGGTTCCTTTTCATTTTTTCCGTATTGATATAATACTCTACTGGATGGGTCGTAAATTCCATCACCGGCATCATAGCAACCATCGGGTATATAGCGAAGTGGTTTTCCCGATAAGCTGTCACTTTGTGCACTCATGAGACAGCGATCTGATGGTTTAAGTCCGTTGATATGCTCCTACAAAAGAAAAAATTGTAAATAAAGTTACGAAGGAATCTCACAATTTTGGATATTTAGGAGAGGTTGTAGTGTTGTAACCACATAAACGTTGACTGGTAATAGCAAAGATAATACCGATTGATCACAGAATATTTTTCCGTGATGACTATATTTTTTTTCTGCGAATTTTTGTGGCATACTTTTGAATATATATAGCTAGATAAGAAGCTACGAGAGCGAATTCTATGTCAATAGCGTTAGCTGAATTACTGTTGATATTGGGTATATTTAATCAATCGCCAATTTCCGAGCTTCTGCTACTTCTGTTTTTGTCAACTTCAACTTCAACTAGCCATGTCAATGGAACCGACAAGCAACGTACAGTTTTCAAACCAAACTGAACTCTATAGACGTGAAATTATTCATCTTTCTTTCTATGTACTGATTGTTTACCGGATAAAATCTCCTGTCGTTGTTTTCACTACAATAAGACCAATCTTCTGGATCATATTGTAGTCCATCACTGAAAATATACTCTCCATTCAATTCAATTCCATTCTTCCATTCACCTTCATATCTTCCTCCGTTATTGAAATGAAGAGTCCCTTTAAAAGGATTTGGGATTTAGATCATAAATAGGCCTACATTGTTCCAGATACCCAATAAAACATTCCAAAGACTCAAGGAACCTTTGTACATTTGTCCAAATGTCTTTTATTGCCTGAATTGAATACATCATAAATATATACAAAAGCAAACCTCATACAGTGTTAGCGAGAATCATAACGTGTTTCTAATTTGATGACGTTTTACGTTGTTACGCAGACGTTGCAAACGTATCGACGCAGCATTATTGCGACAGAGTCCTGTTTCTCGATTAACCCGGAATTCTAAATTTCGCCACGCTGCTTCCTGAGTTGGCACCTTCTGTCCTTGTATACAGTGTAATCTATTGCGCTAGTATTGTTTATCCGTGTTTAATATTGGGTTTACTATTCGCGGTTAGAATAACGATTCGAATTGAAGTTATTAATTGGGTTTAAAATCAACGGTTCATACTGGAGTTGTAATATAATGTAGGGATACAGGTTAGGGTTGTAATATAGTCCAAATAGAATGATAAATGTTGTTCTTTATATTTAGTCACATAAGTTAAGTTGTATTTACTTTGGATTATTAATTGTTGAATTGAGTTGCCTGGAGATCCTAAACATTCGGTATGTAAATATTGTTTTATCTTGTATGATTCATTCTGTATTTTATTATTGTGAATATTATTTTATCCTATGTGATTTAATCTGTACATAATTGTGACATATGGTTATCTGCTAATTGATGTGAATTGTTATTGCTTGTAAAATGGTAATGCTGTTATATTTGATTAATTGTGCCATATAAGCTATTTAGTTTATTATTATTTTGGCAGAAAACCGTTCCTTTAACAACGTTACGTTACGTTCCATTAACAACGTTCCTTTACGTTCCTCATACCGGTATCAAGATTACGTTACGTTCCATTAACAACGTTCCGTTTCCGGTACCCGGCAAGTTCTATTTTCCTGATTCATGTTTCGAGATTTGATTTGAAGTGTCTGTTGATTGTTATTAAAGATATTCACCGATTTCAAGTTGAATTATATTGGGGCAGCATTTGAAAGGCACAGAAGAATCTGGCGGCACTTTAACCGCTGTTTACAGACTTTAATTGCTTGAAAGCACGGACTAGTTGTAACAATTAACCGATATAGGTTGGGGTCAGGACTGGGGTATTGGGACGCGTTTTTGAAGTCTCCAATCTCTTAATGTGCGTGAGAAGTAACCAGGCTACATAGAATCGAGCGCAACATTAAAGTTTTCGAATGAGGAAACTGAAGTTTTCTATTTCGAAATCAAACCAGAGTATTGTAAGCAGCAATTGAAAGATATCAAACTTTTCAATTGATCCTAGATTGAGTGAAGAAAGTCACTTAAAAGTCGAAATGGCTGCAAAACCAGTTTCACAAGAAGAACTGGAACGTTTATTGGCTGATCTGAATGGTCAGTATAGATCAGCAGAAGAATTGATGTTGAATCCAAGAAATAAGGAGATTCTACACTCACAAGTAAAGAAATAGATGCAATGTTTGTGGAGTATTCTAAAGCTTATGAAATACATGTTGCAGAACTGCCAGTAGATGAAGAGGCTCAAAGAGTAGCTAAAGAATCTTTCCAGAGAGAAAGTTATGGATATGAAGAGTTCAAAGCACATGTTGAAGAGTGGCTTTCCAGACAAGAAAGCACACAAATCGTTGAGAATCCTCCATCAAAACCACAATCTATAGCTAGTAGAAAATCATCTAATATGTCAAGACCTCGATCTGCAAGGACAGCATCGAGTTACAAAAGTACAAGTTCCAGTTACAAGAGAACTGAGGCAATAGCTGTCAGAGAACTTGCAAAATTGAAAATGAAGCAACTGTCAGAGCTAGAACAGGCTGAACGAAATACTGAAGAATCGCAATAAGAAAGAACAGCGAGCTGAAGAAAAGAAGAAGCTGAAGAATAAAATCAGCATCAGAGAGAGAAATAAGGCGATACAAGCTATACACGAATATCAAGCCGCATGTGTAGAGGCGGAAGTGTGGGAAATAGGCTCTAATCGCAATGAAAGGGTTCAGTTTCAAGAAATGGATTCTGGACCACCGATAGCACAATTGGTAGAATGTGAAGCAGCACGGGCTGAAGTAAACACACCTCAAGTGGGTCAAACCAATTGTATTGTGCCTCCTAGAGAGCCACAAGTTAGATTATCCCTGGATCCGGTCCAGGAAGTGGTTGCGGAAGTGATGAATCCCGTTAATCAAGAATTTCGAACTAGACAAGGTGGAACGAGACAGGCTAATTTGGTGAGTCCTGTAGAAGTACCTAATATGCCATCACAAGATGTTGGCTCAATTCTTGCTACTATGACATCTACAATGCGTGACATGGTAGATTTACCTAAACCAGAATTACTTTCGTTTCATGGTTCTCATGAAGAATATACAAGATTCATGAATAGTTTCAAGATAAATATTGAGAACAAGATTTCAGATGACAATCTGAGATTGACTTACTTGCAACAGTTTTGCAAAGGTAAAGCAAGAGAATTGATTCGTCAATGTTCTGTATATCCTCCTACAGAAGGATTGACTTTAGCAAAGAGACTTCTAAGAGAAGCTTACGGAAGACCATTGTTGATTGCCAGAACTTATATGGAAGAGTTAATACATGGTCCAATGTTGAAACCAGATGATCGAGATAGTCTTCTGGATCTTTCTCATAAAATGGAAGAATGTTACCTAACGCTGTCGCATTGGAAGCAATATTCAGATCTAAATAATTTTGACAATATTGCTCAACTTTCATGTAGATTACCCCTGAAGTACCATAATAAATGGGAAGAAGAGGCAGCAGATTATGAGAATAGAAACATTGAACTAAAATTTGAACATCTTTTAAAGTTTGTCAAGAAAGCAGCAATTACGGCACAATCATCGATGGGCAAAGCTATGAGAGCTCATAAAGAGAGGGAAAAGGCTAAACACCCTCAAAAGAAGAGAATTTATGCAAATTCCACTTCAACAAGTGGTGATGGCAAACCTGAACAATCTACCGAGAGAAAAGGTACATTTGTGAGAAATAGATACAGATGTGTTATCTGTTCAAAAGATCATTTTCTTATTCATTGTCCAGAGTTTGAAAGAAAATCTGCAAGTGAACGCGAGGCTACAATTCGTGAATTTCATATTTGCAGAAACTGTTTATACATTGGTCATATGGCACGGCAATGTCGTAAGAATCCTGCATGTACTGAGAGAGGATGTGGTGGCAGACATCATAGAATGCTTCATCGAAATGTTGCAGATACTAAGCGAAAAGAGCAAAGTACAAGTTCCGCTACTCAAACTGCTACATCGGGATCGACCTTAACGAACTATACCAGAAATTCAGCTGGAGTATACTTGAATATAGTTCCAGTGAAAGTATCCTCACCTCAAGGTAGAGAAATTGAAGTATACTGTTTCCTAGACGAGGGAAGCACCTCTTGTCTATGTGATAAAAGATTGATGGAACTTTTAGAGATGGATGGTGAACCAATGAGTTATTCCATTACTACTGTAAACACACCGAATCCACAGAAACAAGATGGATTCGCTCTTGACTTAACTGTTAAACCACTGAAAGGGGAAGGTTGTGTGACATTACATCGTGTGCTCACTGTGGATGAAATTCCGACAGTACCGAATAAATTACCTAAAAGGATTGAATTACAAAGGCATGAATATCTCGAGGGTATTGAATTTCCAAAATTACCAGATGAAAGAGTGATGCTCATGATTGGCGTGAATGTACCTGAAGTATTCTGGGTAAAAGATGAAAGGCGTGGTACTACAAATGAACCAGTTGCAAAAAGAAGTATTCTTGGTTGGTCACTGGTCGGGCCTGCCTTTAATAAAGCTTCTGGGAATGAAAGTTTTCATGTACATGTTAATCATGTTGAAGTGAAAAGTGAAGATCTTCAACAACAAATTCGAGAGATGTGGGAAACGGATTTCAAAGATATATCATTGACTCCCACACCAACATTGTCAAGAGAAGATAAGTATGCATTACAACTGATGGAAGATAATATAAAGATGGTGGATGGACATTACCAATCTCCGTTACCATGGAAACCGGATGTCCTGAATTTCCTAATAATCGTGATGCAGTTATGAGAAGAACCAACAATTTGGGAAAACGCTTGTTGAGGAATGATGTTTTAAGGGACAAATATTGCAGTACCATGGCTGAATTTATAAAGAAAGGATGGGCAAGGAAAATTCCTGCTGCTGAATTTGAAGCACCCATTGGTAAAGCGTGGTATCTTCCTCATCAACCCGTTACATCAGAACAGAAACCTGGTAAAGTACGCCTGGTATTTGATGCAGGTGCAAGATATTTGAACACATCACTGAATGATCAATTACTGCAAGGTCCAGATATGGCAAATGGATTGTTATCTGTTTTGCTACGTTTCAGAATGTACAAATATGGTATAACTGCAGATATAGAAGCTATGTTCTTACAAGCTCGTGTAACGCCTAGGGATGTTGATGCATTGAGATTCCTATTTTGGCCTGATGGAGATTTGACAAAAACTCCTGTCGATCATCAGATGTTAGTGCATTGTTTTGGAAATACATCAAGTCCATTTTGTGCAAATTACTGTTTAAGGAGAACTGCAGAAGATTTTGGAAAAGACTTTCCATCAGATATAAGTGACAATATCAAAGATAATTCATATATAGATGACTTCCTACTTGGAGCAGATAGTATATCTGAAGGGAAGAGAATTGTCAAGCAAACCTCAGAACTTACTGAATGTGGAGGTTTTCATTTAAACAAATGGAGGAGTAATTCAGAAGAAATTATTTCTTGTGTTCCAGAAAAGGATAGAGCACAAATTCAAGCAAACGTAAATTTAGACCCAAATCGTTTTGAACGAGTTTTGGGAGTTGTGTGGTTCGTGATAGAAGATTGCTTTGGATTTAATACAAAGCTGAAGACAAAACCTGCTACGAAAAGAGGAGTTCTAGCAATTCTTAGTTCCGTATTTGATCCCATGGGTATTGTATCACCTGTGATATTGCAAGCAAGACTTATATTCCAAGAGTTATGTCGTCAACAATTGGGATGGGATGAAACTATCGGAGAAATGAACAAATAGCATGGGAAAGCTGGACTAAAGCAATTCCAGACTTATCAGAAGTCAAATTACCAAGATACATTAAACCGAATTCATTTGGGGTTATTGTTTCACAAGAATTACATCATTTTGGCGATGCATCACAAGTTGCCTATGGATCAGTTTCATATTTGAGGTTATCAGATGAAAACGGTCGAATACACTGTTCATTTTTACTTGGAAAATCAAGATTGTGTCCTATCAAGACAATATGTTCACTTCCACGGCTGGAAATTACAGCTGCTGCGCTTTGTGTGCGAGTGGATATGTTTTTAAGACGTCAATTAAAATTTGAGAAGAATGTTAAGTCTATATTCTGGAGTGATAGCACAGCTACTATCCAATCAATTTACAATTCGTCGAAAAGATTTCCTACTTTCATAGCTAACCGATTAGCAAAAATTGAAGAAGGTTCAGAGCCACATCAATGGCGTTATGTTCCAAGTGAATTGAACCCAGCGGATTATGCATCCCGTGGAATGACAGCAAAGAAATTGATTGCAAAGAAATCATGGTTACAAGGACCAGAATTTCTCTACCAGAATGAAGAGAACTGGCCACAAATGCCAGTTAAATTACCAGATTTACCATTGGAATTTATTCAGAAAAAGCCAATGAATGTCTAATTAATCTAGTGACAGAGAATGAACCTTGGACAAGTTCATCAACTATTATTCTTCATGGTATAAGTTGAAGAAAGCTACGCATGGATTATCAGATTCAAAATTTATTTACAAGCTAAACCAACTGTTCAAAAGGTGAATTGCAAACAGAAGAGTTGAGAAGATCCGAAAATGAGCTGATAAAGTATTTACAAAATAGTGAGTTGAATAAAGTTATTGCAAAGTTACAAAATTCTGATGTACAAGGGAAAAGTGTGCTTAGAAATTTGAAAATTGCACCTTCAATGCAAAAGTTGAATCCTGTTTTAATTGAAGGAATATTGAGAGTGGGTGGAAGATTGCAAACGCACCCATAGAATTTGATTTGAAACATCCAATAATACTGCCAAGTAACCATCATATCACACAGTTGATTGTCAGAGAATACCATAAAAGTTCACATCATTGTGGAGCAAGTCATACATGGAATTTGCTGAGACAGAAGTTCTGGATTATCAATGGAGCTGTTGTTGTAAAGCGAAATATTCGTAATTGCATTTTTTGCAAAAAGAGAAATGCTTCGATGGGTAAGCAATTTATGGCTGACCTACCTAAAGAGCGTGTGACACCAGATCAACCACCATTCACATGTGTTGGAGTTGGACAACTTCGGGACCGTTGTTGGTGAAAGCAAGGAAGAAGTTTCTGTGAAGAGATGGGCTTGATAATAACCTGTGCAACAACTAGAGCAGTGGCATTTGGAAATTGTGCATAGTATGGATGTCAATTCATTTATTAATGGATTAAGAAGATTCATTGCCAGAAGAGGCAAGATGTCAACCATTATATTGATAATGGGAGCAATTTTACAGCTGGAAATAAAGTGTTGAAGAAAGAAATTCAATTGGAATTCCAGTAAAATGGGAGATTTTGCAGACAAAGTGATATTCATATTCAAGTTCAATTCTCCCACAGCTTCACACTTGGAGGTTCTATGAAAGACTCATCAGATCAGCAAGAAAGATATGACTGCATTATTGCATGATCAATTGGTTACTGATGAAGCATTGTCTACTATATTTTGTGAAGTTGAAAGTCAATTGAATTCAAGACCACTTACACCTATTAGTATGGATCCTTTGGATGAAGAACCACTTTCACCAAATCATTTATTGTTGCTGAAACATAAAGCAAATTTACCACCGGGAATATTTGACAAGAAGATTGTTATGCGAGAAGAAGATGGCGTCAAATACAATATTTGGCTGACCAATTCTGGATAAGATGGTCCAGAGAAGTACTTGTCAATCTACAAGCTCGACATAAATGGTTGAAGAAGGAAGACAATTTCAAAGTCAATGATCTTGTGCTACTGGTTGACAACAACAATACCAAGAGGGAAGTGGCTGACAGGCAGAATTATGGAAGTTATACCAGACAAATTTGGAGCTGTCAGACAAGTGACTGTCAAAACCTCTCATGGGTTTTTAAGAAGACCAATAGCAAAACTTTGTATGATTCAGAGAGCTGATGAGTAATTCATTGTTAGTTGTATTACTTATTTGTGGATGATTCTCACTTTTCTTTTTGAATTGTAAGATGTATTCTCTTCGTTCCTACATCTGGGGCGGGGAATGTTAGCGAGAATCATAACGTGTTTCTAATTTGATGACGTTTTACGTTGTTACGCAGACGTTGCAAACGTATCGACGCAGCATTATTGCGACAGAGTCCTGTTTCTCGATTAATCCCGGGAATTCTAAATTATCGCCACGCTGCTTCGATGAGTTGGCACCTTCTGTCCTTGTATACAGTGTAATCTATTGCGCTAGTAGTTGTTTATCGTGTTTAATATTGGGTTTACTATTCGCGGTTAGAATAAACGATTCGAATTGAAGTTATTAATTGGGTTTAAAATCAACGGTTCATACTGGAGTTGTAATATAATGTAGGGATACAGGTTAGGGTTGTAATATAGTCCAAATAGAATGATAAATGTTGTTCTTTATATTTAGTCACATAAGTTAAGTTGTATTTACTTTGGATTATTAATTGTTGAATTGAGTTGCCTGGAGATCCTAAACATTCGGTATGTAAATATTGTTTTATCTTGTATGATTCATTCTGTATTTTATTATTGTGAATATTATTTTATCCTATGTGATTTAATCTGTACATAATTGTGACATATGGTTATCTGCTAATTGATGTGAATTGTTATTGCTTGTAAAAATGGTAATGCTGTTATATTTGATTAATTGTGCCATATAAGCTATTTAGTTTTATTTATTATTTTGGCAGAAAACCGTTCCTTTAACAACGTTACGTTACGTTCCATTAACAACGTTCCTTTACGTTCCTCATACCCGGTATCAAGAGTTACGTTACGTTCCATTAACAACGTCCGTTTCCGGTACCCGACAAGTTCTATTTTCCTGATTCATGTTTCGAGATTTGATTTGAAGTGTCTGTTGATTGTTATTAAAGATATTCACCGATTTCAAGTTGAATTATATTGGGGCAGCATTTGAAAGGCACAGAAGAATCTGGCGGCACTTTATCCGCTGTTTACAGACTTTAATTGCTTGAAAGCACGGACTAGTTGTAACAATTAACCGATATAGGTTTGGGGTCAGGACTGGGGTATTGGGACGCGTTTTTGAAGTCTCCAATCTCTTAATGTGCGTGAGAAGTAACCAGGCTACATAGAATCGAGCGCAACATACAGTACGGACAAAACAAAATGACCTTGGTATTTGATTATATTTAAAGAATATAATAGAATGATGTAGACTATTTCGAATCGCCTCTGGCTTGTTTTTTATTTGGCGACACAAAGGCCGAGATGAATTTCTTAGCTTTTTTTTATTGAATTCATATTTTTACATATGAATCTTTTTTTTTGTGAAGCATTTTTCTTATTTTTGTGAACGCTCAGCAAACTGTCGAGTGATGGAATGTATGTGTTTGTAGGACCCACCACGACAAAAAGGCACATATATATATATAAAATACATATATTTGAATATTTCCAAATATTCTAGATTCTATTCAAAAAAAATATTCGATTCGACCCTAAAATCATCAGCTATTCAAAAATGCCCACCCCTATAATCACGGAACAAAGGCTGCTGATAATAGGAGGAAGATCGGGGTTCACCACAATATTATTATGTTCCATGGGTTTTCACCTCTCGGGATAAATATTACAAAAATTTACCATTTAATTTCATCGTATTGATAAAATTACGCGTTAATATACGTACAGTATATATAAACCCAAGAATAAAGGAGCAATTCCACTATTTTCTGCTATATTATGGGGTTATTCTTCGGATAACGAGATAGGCGGGAGCTGGAAGACTGGCAAAGAAATAGCCCAACTAACTGCACCCGAACGCCGAGATCCTGTTGTTGTCTCATTTTATTTTATAAAAATATATTTCACAAATAAAGTAACATATTATTTACCTTTTCCATGAAATGCTCCATCTTTAAACTCGCCCACGTACCTAGTACCAGTATCGAACCAATACGTTCCATGCCCATGCATACGGCCATTTCTCAATTCCCCAAAATAATTTGCTAGATGATGATTTTGATTCATTTTGTTTTGAACCAAATAAATATATATGAACCGTATTATTTACAACCATATTTATTACGATATTGTGACGTAACATTTGTATGTTCGAGAGAACTAAAATTATATTGTTAATATATTTTTTTTGCTAAGGTACATTTTGGAGTGCTACTCGCCTTTCCTCTGTAAAAAATGTTACGCGAGCAGCCCTATGTCAGTATCTGGTATACATTTCATCCAATTAATTACACACACCCTGGGATCGATCGATGATTAGAAAATTTGAGATGAATAAAAAGCCTTCTAGCGAAAAATACAATCTTTTACCACTAAAAATTTCAAACAAAATGGTCCGGTACTCCGGTAGTTAATAAGAAAAGCGAAGAAGAAAAACAATAACATAATAACGAGAATATCGGTCGGAGACCGAAGACTTTTCGATCGAAACTGCGGTTTCGATTCATGACTCTATAGTGACACCGCGTGTCCCATCACTACACGAATATGTTAAAACAAACAGTCATTGACATACAAAAAGACGAACGTCGATGTAATTGTAGAATACCCCTAACTCTGCAAGTATTCCCGAATTATCAAGTTGTGTTTGGAAAATCATACTACAACAATCACCTATCAACAACAGTAAACTAACCGATTTGACGATGATCACTCCGGATCACAACCGACTCTTCTCCAACTAATACGCGAGTCGCATTACCTCACAGTATTGCCAAATTCCGATGTAAATTGATAAAGATATACTCGTACTATCTGCAAGTGAGTTGCAGGCTAAGATACTCGCGAACACAAAAGGTCAAAAGTTGACTGCTGGAATAGCAAAAAGTTATTTTATTAACAAAAAATATGATATTTCAAGGAACGTTATGGAAGAGCATTACATGATAAAAAAAAAAAATTATACACAATAATGAATAATAATAAGCTGAAACATTGCGATTAAAATTTTTTAAAAAAAGAAGTCCGAGAAGGTACTTTATATACATTAGGGTTGATTCAAAGGGAATATACAACAATATAAAGTTGACCAGAATGATGATTAGGCTTGTATTCGTATGTATCAAAGACCCAAAGCCACTATTTATGCTATTTTCAAAAATATCTACATCTCTAAAAAGTGAATCGTACCAAATGGATATAGTGAAATTAAAAAAAAAGCTGTAACAACACCTAAAACTCATTACAATATTACAGCTTTGCGTTAAAATAACAATGAATTGCCACAAATATAAAACACAGGCAGCGCATACATATGAGCTAAGGTACACAATTATTAAAAGGCAAAAATTCGTGGCCTACGACGATACGATGCCGTAATAAGAGTAAAATATATATCAAAATAGACGCATGGATATCGTAATGAGAATGCTCTATACAGATATTTCGAATTATAGAAGCAGATTTATGTATGATGTCTATAGGAGGCGGTGTGAGGTTATGCCGATTTTGACAAGTCTTACGTCTCAGTGAATATTTGGGGTCACAAATAAGACAGTTCCTTGAGGGCGTTGGAAAATGAAAAAAAAAGTTTCTATGCTGAACAATTTTCGAGATGAAAAGAGCGATGCGAAGATTTTACAATAAAGACCGTTAAATTTCGCAGATATAGTTGATCTCGTGCTGCCATTGTTCGAGGCAAGTAAGTGATTGGCATAAATCAGTTAACATTTATTTGTTTAATTTTTATTCATATCATTATGAGTATCGTATTTATCTTCGCGTAATTTTAAAATGAAAATAACAAAAAACGCTTGTTGGCTGTTTGTACCCTTGCAAAATCGCTGTTTTGCACTCTTTGCTGTTTGTACTTGCAAAAAATCAAGAAATAAAATTGTATGCAAACAAAAAATATCTTACCTGGGATTCAATTCAAATTTGCAAATATTGAACAAAATTGATTTAATAAAATATAAAAATGATCATTGTGAACTAGTTATAGAAAAAGAAAGATAGGTGATCTTAACATCAATAAAAAGTATTATGACATCTTCCACACTGTGTAGAGTTTTGTACCTGAAACAAAGACTTAGAAACTCAGTGGACAACGCTAACGCTGATAAAACTTTTGCGTTAGAGTATTGATTTATAAGTGGAAGCAATTATAACAACAACAGTTGTAAATTAGTTTGTCGTTGCAATAATAAGAGCCAACTGGAAGCGCCTTGCAAGAACTCAATATATTTACTATATTCAATACACATAAACTTCCAAGCTACTGTTTTACAAGAAATAAAACATCGGTATAAAATGATATAGACAGAAATAGGAACTTTAGGTATTACCACATCTAATAACGGCGCAATTACTGGCGTTTCTGCCCTTACAGTTGTCGATAGAGCGTTTGAGAAAATATTCCTTGTCTGGATTTTTGTATTCATGGCTGTGAATGGTTTTTCAAAACTAGTTGAGACTTGGTATTCAAGGTGATAAAGCTTTTTACAGCTCTGCACAATGCAGCTCTCATTTGAAATCTTCCGAGCAGACGCGGAATTCTATATGATAACGCTCCTTCTATCCTCGTGTCACTTCTTATCGGTCTGTATATCAGCGAGGAGTATAAGATGGAGGCGGTGGTCCTGGCTTTAAATTTCTCTTCTTCATGTATCCGACGAATTGATCAGGAATTTCAGCTAAAACATCTTTTGCAAGTCTAGCTTGACTCAAAATTTGATTTCTATTTCCTTGAGCCATGTAGTCTCGAAACGGGACAAACTAAAGTTAAAATATGAAATGTTTAAATTGTATTTTTAACGTATATCACTAATATGGAAAGAGCCAAATTTGTGATATATTTACTTATACATTATTCGTTTGTTTCCACTGTGTTAAGCAAGCAGCACAGAGGAAATCATACAGCAGGAAAAAATCGAAAACAAATTTATGAATATGTTGCACTAATAGTACGGGATATGTCACATCGATTGGATCAGATAAGTTTAAAAAAAATTAAAATCGTAAATCATGGATGTTTCTAGGAATTTGAAGTTAGAGTCGCAGCCGGGGTCCTATTTTCAAACTTCCCATAGTCGGGAACGAAATTTTGCATTCAGCGGAGTCAGAATGCCATACCTTCGATGGTGACAACAGAAGTGAATTACTTTTGCAGAAACCATTAACTAAAACAAAAGCATTAACATTACTAAGCGTTCTCTACATCCTATGAGATAAGGCAGCGTTTCCGAACCGTGGAGTAGTTCCTCCCCAGAGTCGAATTTTGTTGTTTTGGGGGAGGAATTTTGCTTTGTATTCGCTGTAGTATTATTAATATACTTTAGTTTTTTTATTACTGCTAAAATACTTGTTCATGAACATATAACAAACCACCTAAAGCTGTACAAAAATGAAAGTGCGACTTGTGGATAACACTACAAAGGCTCCATTAAAGATTGAACAAACAAAGTAGATTCGAGTATAGGGAGGGAAGAATAAAAATTCCAAAATAGGAAAAAAGAGTGATTTAACAATCCGGATCGGGATCGGGAGTCGACTCCGGCAAAGTCAAAATCAGATTGAGTCAATAATTCAAAAGTAATTGTAAATTTTCCGTGATTCTGTAGCTTTGAATTTCTATTTAACATGTCATAAAACAAAAAATCCGTGCTTATCTTAGTAAACCTAAGACAAAAACTCCCAAATTTTCTGAAAATTTCAAACGATTGAACTAAATAAATGCACCAACAGTCTATATGCAAGAATATTTTACAAAATTAGTTACCTGCACAATGTCGCGTTCAGCTTCAACACCTCGGTATGACAGTCGTACGGTGTCGCCATCAAGCTCTTCCATGGCTAAAAATTTGTAAAGAAAAAGTTTAAATATAGCTAGATCGATACATTTCTCACCCATCAATTAGTCAACAACCAAACATAAAACACACTAGAATTCTCACTACTTAACAATATACTAATATCGAAAAGTCCATTCATATATATAACGGCTATACGCGACTTACTCTTGAATGTCGGCATATATATAAAATAATTTGGATGGGATATTTAGACAATCAGTCATAGTGGAATAATTACACGTGCAGTAATCGAATCTATAAAATCTGATTTCGTAGTTATAAAAATTACATTTTCACACAAAAGGTTAGTCACGAAAATATCATTGGTACTAGGACGGGGCATTATCAATTATACAACTGAACACATTGGTTTATGTTGATCGATTCCCTAATATTAGTAATTCATTTTTTTAATTTTGTACATGTTTTCTACAATTTTTTTTTATTTTTGCAATATTGTTTAACCATATAATATACTGTATATATTGAATTATTAATAGGATTTTCGCTTTAATAGAGAAAAAATAGAGAAATGAAAAAAGTCCACAGACTGTAACACTATTTGATATACACTAACACCAAAAATTGATAAATAAGTTAGTATTATGAAAAAATTATACATGACGTGTTGTAAGAAAACCGACATTATGCCAGTTACATAAAATACAGTCACAGGTGTGATGAGATATTATAGTAATAATGGATATAAATTCTGTATAACATTTCTTTATAAGGATTTCGATAGTCATTCAAACAGTGGTTGAAAACGGTTGTAACTGGATATAAAGTCATAACGTTTCAAATTACCTTCAAAATCGTCGTTACCAACGCCAACAATAATGATGGACATAGGTAACCTAGCAGCTTGAACTATGGCTTCACGGGTTGCTCCCATGTCAGATATAACACCGTCTGTAATCATCAATAAAATAAAATATTGTGAAGCATCTGTTACTCGTGCAGCCATTCTGAAAAAGAGAAATAAAGGTTATATATAACCGAAATATTTACCTACTTTTGTATTGCCACAGTCATCTGAAAATACAGACACTGACAAATTCGCTCAAAAAGAAACAAGCTCAAATGTCGCTGATAATAGAAAACAAAAGATTTTCTTATTAGCATGTGAACCATAAGATGAAAGAACCATAAAGTCATGTAAACCATAAGATTTATCCAAAGACCAGGGAACTTAATAAGATGACGTAAGCCGTTTATCTAATTTGGGTGTGAGAATAATCGTTCCCAGCGCTTCAATTAACGTTGTTGGCGAAAGCCACCATAACTGACCAATGAGCTTTCATTTATAAGTGGATTTTCAACATGCGCTGTAACATTTTATTGCATTGAAAGTAAACCAAAATCGAAATTGAATCAAGGTCACGAGCCTTGCGTGTAGCGAAGCCATGCAGTATAAGATTGAACTTATAATTTTTACGTGGGTTACACACAATAGCAAGAATTGTAACTCGACTCGACCCAACTCGACCGCATAAGGTTTAGCGGCGAAAGGCCGGCCCTGTTTATAGTATAGCTCATCGCACCAGCCTCATAGTTATTCTGCTTGCTGTGGTATTTGTTGATAAAATGGACGCACATGGCTTGCAGACAGATACATCTTTTTGGTGGTAAATAATAAATTCATCCACATACTACAAAAATTGGAAATATTTAAATCAAGTTCCGATCAACAATATTACGCAACAACAAAACGTATTTCTTGGTTGACAATGCCGCATTGGAAAAATTCCGTTTCTTCCATGTCAGTGGGGGACTGTATAACTATAAGATCTTTCACGGAGCGGAAGCATGTAAAACCGCCGTATAGTCAAAAGACGTAATATTGCTGTCAACAATTTTTTCACCAATGGCGGGACAATGTATTTAGTGATTGATGTCCTACTCAATATTCCATTACATAAATTTCCTTAAGTACAAACTCTTAAAATTCCCTCAAAACAAATTATACTTGGGTCTTTACCACCAAGATATTAATAATAAAACTTACGAAGAAACGCTTCTGATAATCGGTGAAAAATTAGTCGGTCCATATAACTGAACTTTTCTTATACAGCTTTGATAAGATTCCATCACACCTTGGATACCGTTGCAAAAGGGGTTTTGGGGGTTAAAGTTCTGAAAAATATACAAAATTCTTATAAGTACTCAGACTATCTATGTTATAAAACAAGACTGTTTTCAAATATTGATAAATGCTAGTAAAATTACTAAATTATCACTAAAATTGATTGTTTCGTAACAGAAAACAAGAATTATAATTAACCTATATTAACATCCTCTGATCTGACGACTAATTAACCGATTACAGGAAACACATAAATATCTTATGTGTGAACAGACTTGCTTGGTTGCTTAGATACTATTGACATGTTGAATGGTCAGTCGTATACAAGCATCGAAATTGGGGCTTATCTACGGCTCACGTTCAATTGGGTTTGTAAATTATATATAACCTATTGTGATGAGGTTTTCCCATCTGTCTTGTGTTTTTGGTATTGCATATCAAATCCTACACAATTACGTTGTTACAGATTTAAATTGACGGAATGTATTTAAAGGCATTTAGGTCTTAAGGAATAAGACATTTTGTATGCAAACATCAATTATCTTCTCACCTAATCGTTAAGTATAGGGCAATCCTGCAAGTGACAAGCAAAAACCGCCAGCGTCGACTTAATTAAGGCACCAATTAGAAAAGATCGTGCTCGTTAATACATGTTAAAGGTAAGAGGAAACATATGCATGTATGGACAAGTATAATATTATGATCGATCTATTATGATCAATAGGGATATATAACGTTCCAATGCAAACCCATTGAAAACAAATTTATAAATAGCAGTATCGTCCATATGCAAATGGTATCATATCACGAACGAAACACATATTTCTCTTTTGTATTTGCGGGCGAAAACAACTTTTTCTTGATTCAAATTTCATAATGAACTTCCCTTTTCAGATTAAATATTTAAACAAAAACACAATATCCAAAACCCGGGTATGGATAAGTTTTCCTTCCAATTTGAAAACTCAAATTTAGATCTTCAAAATGGCGATTCAATACAATATATAATAAGAATAAATGTTTACATTCCCTAAAATTCATTTCACGTAGTTACGATATCAACTTAAAATGGATCTATAAGCAGGCATCAACATCAAATACTCAGTATTAACTAGTATAACATAAATTGCACAGGAATTAATATGTTAATTATTAGAACCAGAACAATCAAACACTGTTCGCCACTGAATTAGGTCGATAACAATGAATTTCTACGATATCAAAATGTTAAGGAACCGATTGTAAAACAACAAGGTTAGGTGAGAAAATTCCCCTATTTCGATTTGTAAAAATCTTATATTCATAAATTTGAATAACAGCGAAATCTAAAGCGGGCCATGTATGGCTATGTAATAAAAAGGCATATATTGAATACGAATCATATTTGGTTGCAACATATTTCGTAACTGATAAGTTATGCCGCACCAGTGTCAACAAGTTATGAAATATGCAATGAAATGCATTCTAAGAGGTCAGGTATAGGCCGGAAGAATAGTTTTCACGAATATTTGATGAGATATTTGACGGATGTGGCGGATTTTTGCGAGTTGGCCTTTGCGCAAGTGCATATGCAAAAAATCCCAGTGACCTTTGTAATATGATGACTATTTGAGAGAAGTAAAACGACCAATTATCATCAACCATCTTTCGAATGGTGCTTCGCTTGTTAATCTTGAGAATCCTTGCCTAGTTATATTATTCGGATAGACTTCAAAATGAACGTTAAAGTTGCCAAAACATCATGATGGCCAGTTCATTGTGTATAAAGATATATGCATACTATCGAACAGAATAGACACATAATAGAAAAATGGGCGAAATGTATTTGAAACAACATAAAATGGGATGGATATGTACGATTGAGCCAAACTCAAGATAATATAGACACCTTGCATATTATCATAAACTAATTCTGAAACGAAGGTGTTATTAAAATCTGCATGTGCTTCACTTTTTTGTTGCTAGAACCCGAAATGGCAAAGTTGTGGGTAATAAGTTAGTTATGATGGTACAACCAATCGGAACAAATAATTTTAGAATCGTGTATCATTTGGTATTATAGCAAATGGCAGAGACACAAATGGATGGAGTTCAAATATAAAGCGCATTGGTAATGTTTAGTCGTGAGATCCAGCGAAAAGATGCCGAACAGACAGACAATATGCCGCCTTCAAATAATGCAATCTTTCCCACCCAATCAATCAGGTAAGTCGCAGCCACAGTTCAATCATAGTAAACACGTTGGCTAATTTTGCAACAGTAGATTCATAAATAATTAGCACGGTTTAAGAAGGATCGAACCGTTTACGTCCCGACTGCGTAAATACCAAACAACACACTATCACCCAGCGATTTGGAGCAGTTGCGAACATGAGCGGATAAAGCATCCATAATTCAATACTTATATTTTCCAGACAACGTTTCTGTTCGCGTAATAAAAAAAAAATATTATGGTATGCTTAGTCGCCATTTTTGACGTCACAGGCATGCATAAATAATGTGACTGACGGATCTTTAAATATTTGACTATATAACCCAGAGCCAAGCAAATTGCAGCGACAAATATACAAGGCAGTAGGAATAAAAGAGTGAGGGAATAATGTATTATGAAGAGCAAATAATATCAGTATTTGTGATACAAGTAAAATGAGTCCAGCCGTATATTTGTAATACCTAGAAATAAGGGCACATTAAAAATGCGACTGGAGTTTCCAATGAATGGGAATCTAAAAATCCTCTTGCTAGTTACAAATGACAAAAATCGCTAACAAACATGTGGTGGATTTTCCGTAGCTATGCAGTTTAATTCATCCGTGCGTCTAGGTTCCGCGAATTGCCTTTTGAGCATATATCTGTTTTTCGTTGTAACCGTAGAATAACCTAAACACTAATTTTATTAAAACAATAGCAACCAGAATCAGGATATTGCTGAGTTGTATATTAAGAATGTAAATTTCAAAAATGATGATGCATGCATCATTCTAAACTAGTGTGCTAACTATAGAAGCATACTGAGGGACATATATATATAGGAAGCTCTTATTTGCGAGTGAGAAAGAATAGTTGTGCATTGTGGGAAAAGAGATGGAGAAGGAAGATCGCTAAGTTGGATGATACATATGGGCGCTTTATGGCCAATTGCCTTACGATTTGTTAAAATGAAAAATAAAAGGCACATTTGCGTCTGTAAGCAACCTATTTAGGTGATTTCCGGCGTCGCAATTCCAAAATCTACGCCAGGGGCATGTTAAAATGTATTCGGATGTTTGGGATGACATATTGTGTTCGCTCACAAAGTTAATTCCATTATTTACATTGGGGAATTCTGTGGTCAACTATGCGCGACAAATTACAAAAACTGAATAAGTGCTTCCGATAGAATGGCACAGCTTTAGCAAATTTATTTCACTTCCAAGCGTTGAATCTGAGTTAGTTTGTAAGTATCCTTAAATGAAGATCCCGAACATTCAACTAAGAGTGAAGGAGTGCAGATAGAAGTTTGTATGCGATAACCATGCGAGTTATGTGTATTTTTATGCTCAAGACATAGATGCCATTATACAGGGGTTGGCAAATGACATTTCAACTTAACATTACCAGGGTGTGAGGAACTTTCGAATAGCAAATTCATTGGCAATGAGACACTCTGCCGTGTGTAATTAGAGAGATTATGAAAAGTATGTACGGTGAGACTGAATTTTCCCTTGTCCCAAACCGGTGCTTTAACAACTTACCTTGCTACAATTTATGTTTAATTTTACAGAGGTTAAATTTTTTTTATATTATCTCAATCGTCTCCCGGAGCTTAAACTAGTTTTAAATTATGATAAGCCGTGATATAAACTTACTGAAAAGGAAATTTCTTCTTTATTTTCATATATATAATAGCATTTTCAAATAATTTTAAAAATAAATTGTTAACGCCAGGCAATCATTCTCAATCTGGAGAATATACAGGGTTTAATTTTTTAGCCCTTTATAAATGCACGCAATTTGTTGAAGGAAACAATATAATGGGTCCCATGTATCCAACGAGCGAAGTACTGGAGGAAAATATGGAACGGAGATTGGGTTACAGAGGTCTTGAAACCACCATGCCTGAGTCGTCAGCCTATTATAATGCAGGATTTTCAAATTATCCTCATACTGTTAACTTGAGGCCGCATGGACGCCTCGCGCCATTACCATCAAGAAGTTTGAATACCTTCGTTCCACAATCTGCTAGCGACATAATCCGGGCCCATCGAATGAAACGAAAAAGCAACTTGACACCTTTGCCGCCTCGAAACTTCGAAAATCACATTGCTGGTTACCCAGGTACGATTCCTCCATTGCCAGCGCTAGATTACGATGGTCAAACCCTCCACAATGTGAGGTATCCACATGAGGCGCTAGTGTCCATGAATTATGGGCGATGTAATTTTAACGACCAAGAAGGACCAGTGTTCAAGAAAAAAGGCAAAAAGAAAGTTCGAATAGCCAAGAAAAAAGACAAGAAACTCAAAAATTCTAAACGTGGAAAAGAAAAGCGAAAAATAAAAATAAAGTTCGTTCGAAAAAAGAAGAAATTTAAAAAAATTTCAAAGAAACGACTGAAAAAGGAAGAAATTTATGGAAAATTTCCGAAACCTAATAAAAAACTTAAGAAACGATTGAAAAAACAAAAACGCAGGGAAAAAATGAACAAGCTAAAGCAAAAAACCGCGGCAAAGATTTATAAAATGGAACGAAAAATGTCTAAAACAGCTACATTAACAAAATACATGTGTATGAGATGTAGTCATATCTTATGTATATTCTGTGGTTTAGCGCTTATAATACTTGGCTTATTTGCCAACCAGCTGCCTAATTTTCTGCTGCTGACCAGTGGATCTGTTGTTTTGACTGTAGGACTTTGCATATTAGCTTTTCGCATCCTCCAATGCTTCGGCTTAGCAGAGCAAAAGTACGAAGCTCAAGTTGAAAAAGACAAATGGACATTTATAAATGATAACACACACGACCGCATTGTATCTATTGCGTGATGTGAAACGCAGAAACGTGAAAAATT